AAAAAAAAATTCAAAATGCATTTTTAGTACACAGTCCAATTTTTCGGTATGCTGTAAAAATATTTTCACTCACCTGAATAAAATAATTCCAAAGGCATCGGAAAGAACACGTTTTGTACATGTTTTTGATGTATAACATTTTTAATTTTTTTTTGTATTTTCAATTTTGAAATTTCAATGTAGAATTTTTTTGGGAAAAAATTGAAAAAATTAAAAAAATCTTGGTAATTCGTAAAGAACACGTTTTGTACATGTTTTTAAGGAAAACCTTTTTCAAAAAAAATAATTTTTTAAGAAATTTTACAAAACGTGTTTTTAGTACAACATTTTTCTCGAAAAATATGCAAGAACACGTTTTTTAAATTAAAGGTACTCAAAGAACACGTTTTGTACATGTATTTAGGATAATTTAATTTTTAAATTTTCAACTTCCATTTCGGGGTGTCATAGATCTAGCGTTGAGTTATTCTTTCATCGAATATTTTGAAAAATCTTCTCGCCCAAAGTTTGCAACGTCCTGTAATATTCATTGAATGAGTTCGTTGTTTTACAGATTTCCCTTCTTTTCTAAGAGATTTATACCCGGTGACACATCCGATGGAACATCTGCAATTAGTATTTTTGTTGCTGGTGTTGGACTGAAAAAAACTTCCAACGATCCATACTGTCCATTATAGATTCCACTGCCTGAACATCCGACCAACTTTGCTGATATTGAGCGGCTAAAAATGTGAGATTAGTTTATAATATTGAATTATTCGATTCTTGAGAATCTATTCGATCATTTTGTGCATACAAGTTAAATGTTTCCATTGGATTCGCAAACATCAAATCAAAGCAAATGACAACGCCGAAAGTCACGCCAAAATCCGTTGAAAATTTTGATTGAAATTGCTGCCATTAAGTTGACTGTGTTATATTGTGTAGATTCTCCTAAAGATGAAATACACAAAAGTATTCGAGAAAGAAAATTTCATTATACAATTATTTGAAAAATTTAAATAACACACGTGTAAACGTTGTTCCATATTTTTTTGCGATCTAAGATTATGATGATATTGAAATACAAAAACAGAGCTGTTTCAGTAGAAAGTGTCAGTTCATCAAAAACTTTTATTATTATTTGATCTAAAAAAAGTTTAAAAAATCGATCGATTGAAAATGGTATCGTTCAGTTGGAGCATGTCGTCCCTTGTGCTAGTCATTTTAACGGTTATGATTCTGTAATTATGTGTTCGATATTTGAAAATATTCGGTTAATTTTAATCCATTTTTATTTAGACCACTGTCGCCGGTGTCAGCATCCGGTCCCTCATCTCCAGTCCCCAATATGAACCCAATAGCAGACAGCCCACCACCAGCACCATTAAGAGCACCAGTACAACCAAATCGTGTGATTAATATGCCAGCGTAAGTCCGATAAAAAAATGTGTTCTATTTCAATGAATGGTAATGATGAAATGATTGGATCCTTTTTACAGTGAAAATTTATTGGATAGAATAAATGCTGCGTTCGTATAACATTTTTTCCTTCCTATTGTGTCATAGTAATCAATTTAAACTGATTTCAGAAACCATTCGCCGTTAGTGCACTCGCATTCAGCGCATGGTCCAGTACACGGTATTCTGACCAATCGAGTCCGGTTTGTAAAATCAAAATATTTTTTTTTTTTCATTGAGAAATTACCAAATGAAAAATTTAAATCGTTCTCACAGTGTAAATCTTATAAAATCGTTCAATAATGCTGATCCAAAATTGAATGCAAATAAGTTCGTATAATTTTATATCATTTTTATATCTTCAAATAATTAAACGTATATTTGAATGAATTTTTAATTATAATATAGAAAAGCATCATCGAGCCATTCAGCTCATAATCCAGACAAAACTACCGGGTTCGTAAATACTCTTTTATTTTAATAATTTATTGTAATTTCAGAATTTGATACATTTTGAGCCGGTTATTCAAAGATGGTTGTCACTTAGATTTCTCTTTGAACATTCAACTGTAAATCCTTATTACAAAAATATTTGCATATTGACAACATTTTGTTTTACAGCAAACGTTTGCGTCAATAGCACGAAGGAGATACAAATTGCGACGTCAACACAAAATTTAAAATCGATCCATTTTATAAAATAATGTCAACAAGCTAAAAATTATTGGTTTCTTGAAATTGAAAAATGTTTTTTCAACCTTCGTAAAATGGCAATTTGTATGAAAATCATATGGTTTCCTCAAACTTTTACACGCTAGTGTAATTTAATTGTTCAATAAAGAATTAAATTCTTAATAAATAAAAACATAAGATTTATCATTTCGTTATGTTCGATTAAATTTCGGAGAACATTAAAAATGATTTATAAATTCGTTGACTATTTCAGAAAAATTCTCAAATAAAAAAATGGTAAAATTTCGTTGGCGGTGAAAAGCGACAGTTTGGATTATTTACATAGTATCTCTGTCATAATCTCTTGAATAAATTGCAAAAGTGAAGAGATCATTTTTTGGTGAATACAAGCTCAAAGAAGCTTCGTAGTTCTTGCCTCCACTCATCTTAGAACTGAAAATCAAAATTGAAAATATTAAAGTATTAAATAGTAAAGTAAAGAATATTACACTTTGAACTGAAACTCGTTGGTTTGAAATGGTTGCAATTCGGTTGTGAGTGTGCTGGGCATAATTTTCATGTGTGTTTTCGGAAGCGTGGTGTCCAAATGTAATTTTTTGAAATTGTATCGATTGTGAAGATCACCTATCACCTTACCACATGAATCTTTTGAATTCATATCAGTGCAAGCAATCAAACTACATACATCTAGACCAGTCTTTGGATTCTTTCTGCCTTTGAAACGACGAAGATCGTGGAAAACGGAAATCGCATATGAATAACTTGACTAAAAGATGCGAAAAAGACAGCAAATCAATAAAGAGAACAAAGCCAGATATAAACATGTATTACCTTTCCCTTCAGTTCACCAAGATCATTGACTTCAATTGAGTAATGACAACAAAAGTCATCTACACAAACCTTTCCAGTTTGGATGGAATTTTCGGAAAAGTCCAAAAATTTCATCGAATATTTTGAAAAATCTTCTTGACCAATATTTGCGACGTCCTGTGTATTCATTGGATGAGTTCGTTGTTTTACAGATTTCCCTTTTTTTCCTAAGAGATTTATACCCGTTGACACATCCGATGGAACATCTGCAATTAGTACTTTTGTTGCTGGTGTTAAGCTAACAAAAACCTCCAACGCCCCAGATCGTCCACTATAAATTCCGCTGCCTGAACATCCGATATTGGGCGCATTCGTATTTGCTGCCAATAAGTTAACATTGTTCGCATAGGCCCAACTTTGCTGATATTGAGCAGCTGAAATTACAATATTAGTATGTGACATCGAATAATAATAATAACTCGATTATTTTGTGCATACAAGATAAATATGGTAAACCGGAAAACCAATACGTGGGATAAACAAAATTTTTAACTCCGTGTCGGATTAGAGTTTCCATTGGATCCGCAAACATCAAGTCAAAGCAAATGGCAATGCCGAATGTCACACCAAAATCCGTTGTAAATGTAGTCAGATCCGGCACTTTTGGGCGCTCAACGCCATATTCACCAAATAAGTGATATTTTCGATACCTTATCGTTAAATCAAATTAAATAATGAACATTTTAATGCTGTCATTTATTGGTACTCACTTGGCAATGGCATTGCCTTTTCGATCGAACACGATCACCATATTGTAAAGATGAGTCGAAGAATTAACCATCTCTTTGACATATAGATTGATTACAATATATTTTTTGGAATTTCGTGCTACCATTGAAAGGGTTTGTAACACTGGATCAGTGCGTGGATTTTCATAATACGAATTAGTGTCTGATGGTAATACAACTGCAGTGTTTTGCTTATTGAATATTCCTTCGGGTAGCACTACAATATCCACTCCTTTTAAATCTTTCGATTCCATAATTTTAACGATTTGCATTGTAACTTCAAATACACCGTCGACCGTGTCACCTTTAGCAACGGGATTTAATTCAACTACAGCCGCTCTATAAGTTGGTTGCTAAACGAAGGAAAAGATAATATATGCGATTTATGAAATAGAATACCAAATAGATTATACAGACTCCATAAAAAAGTCTACAGAATTCTTCTTTAAAAAGAAAATCATTTTTTTGAAATTGTCAGAGATTTACTTTTACCTTTGCTTTTGGCAATTTCGTTGCAATAATAGGAGTTTGATCATTAGATCTGCTGATTTCTATCGATGACGTTGATTGTGTCCCACTTTCGATAGAAATGGTGTCAGGATGTTGATTCGGCAGTTTCTTTAATTTCGGTATTTTTGTGATGCCAATACTGGTCTTTGAAGTATTTGGTACTAGAGCCTGTATATATAAGCAATGGAAATCTAAATAACTTCATAAAAACAATATTTATCTCGCCTATATTCAAATAAATCCAGCATTCGTACACTTAAACTGTGATAAGATCATAAGTAAATGAGAAAAAACCAGCAACGACGCAGTAAATTTGTGACTTGATATAGAGGGATGACTTGATACAGAGGGAATTTGAAAAACATAAGCGTATGCAAAACAAAAATTGGGAATACAAACAAAAAGCCTATTTAACGTGGATCGATTCAATAATAATAAAGTGATACCTTTGACACATGCATTTCAAAAACAGAAAACGCCGTCGTCAATTAGCTACTTGTCAATATTATTGCTGAAACGGTTCAGACAGTCTCAAGTAAAAATTCAATATTTTTGTGAAAAAAATTCAAATATTCCATATGGAAAAATTATTGTCTAACGAAATCGTGTATTTATTTGACTTGAGACTGAATTAGTAAATACTTTCTGCACAGTGACATTTACAGTATGTTTGATTATAGAGGGAGGTTGATTTTTTATAATAAAACTCAAGAGTTTTACAAAATTATTTTATATACATTTTATTTAGTATCTAAGCTACGGCGCCAAAAATTAATATTTAATCCATTCTCCTTCTTTCTCGATCACACGGGCACATCTGTTGGGCATACTTTTGCTCAAATTTTCAGCATATTCGCGTTGAAAATCTTTCCACTGGCGTTGAATGAATGAACTGAGCTGCTTCAAATTGCGGTGTGTTTTACCACGAAGACTTGCCTTCATAATGGCCCAAACATTTTCGATCTGATTGCAATCGGGTGACTGTGGCGGCCAGTCCATTTGTTTTATTCTATTTTCCTCTTTCCAAGCGGTGCAGAGACGACTCTTGTGTTTTGGATCATTATCTTCTAGTAGAAGCCAATTCGAATTACCGTTGCCATAGAACTTTTTGGCGGTGGGTAACACTGTCGATGCATAAAGTTGGTTCATCCTCATGGCGTTTAGAATGCCCGTGAATATGGTCAACTTTCCAAAACCAGCTTCACAGAAGCAACCATAAACATGCACCTTTTTCGGATGCTTTACCGTGCGAACGACCACTCTCTTTTCGGCTCTAGACTAGGCATGGGTAGTGCTATTCACCAGCCAAAAGAATGACTCGTCAGTGTATATAACTTCGCTCCAATCTCTTGTTGAATTTTGCTTTGCCCAGTCAATGCGTTTTTCTTCTGGTTTTCTGTCAAAAGTGATTTCTTCATTGTACTGCGATAATGAACACCGGCGACATCCAATCTTTTCTTGAGTGTGGAGCGCGAGACCTCTATTTTAAGATGGCGTAGCCGTTCAACACCTTGGCTTAACGAAATACCTGGATTTTCGTCGAACAACTTAACTATTCGCTTATCTTGCTTTGGCGAGGAGGCTCGGTTTGGCTTAAAATTGGGCTGATCGTTCAAATTTTTTTCGTGCTTATACTGCTGGATCCACTTTGTTACGAACTCTCTTGACTTTTTAATGTGTTTTGCGACCTTCACTATTGACCATTTAGGTCCTTTTGGATGTAAATGCAAAAACACCGCTTCAAAACGTCTATGAAAATATTCCGAATCCATATTTTCGTTGCACAACAAACACTGTAGTGATTTGAGAACTGTCAATGTTAATTGGCGCATTAGCTTAGAGTGCCATCTGGCGACACCAAAAATATTTTCAAGATATTTGAAACTTTTTGTGGTTAAGTCAACCGGCCTCTATAATGAAACATACTGTAGCACCGCTAGCAGTTATCGACCAAATATTTTAGCAGCTGAATGTTCGCGTTTCATACAGAGGTGTATCATTTAAATGTTAGATCGCCGTATGAAACGTCAATATTCAATTGCTTCAATTTTCAGTTGATATTTGGTTAGAGAACGCGACTCGACGCAACCGATGAGTGACACTTTGAATTTAAAGTAGAGTCGCTGATTGAATATGGCAAACATTTTTCACACAAGTTTTCTCAAGGATTGTTCTTCTGAGAATGAGGAATGATGAAGTGGAACCTCTCATTATGTGAGAAAGAAAATATTTTTAACTAAAAAAGATATTTTTGCGATGAAAATCACTTTTTGACCAAAGAAATTTCCTGATTTTTTAAAATATATTTTAAAACACTGTTCCAATCAAAAATTCCAATAAAAATAGAAAACTGTCAAGGAAAACTAAAAACCACCTATAAAACATTGAGAAGCGAATTGAGAAAATATATCTTACTTTTTTTGCTCCATCGGTGTAATTCTATAGTAATAAGTGAAAAATAAAAATTAAATGGAAATCCTGATTTGTTAAAAAAAAAAACATCTATTTACCACTGAAATTACAAACACCATCAAAAATAGAATAAACAACTTTTGATCTAACATGTTAGGCTTTTTTTATTGGTATACAGTCTTCATAAAAAGAGCTACAGAGCTAATGAGATTATATTCACAATTCATTTCTTATATACAGTTTACAATGGCATCTCATACAATTTCAATCGATGATCAAAATATCTCATCATTTGTGCTACATTTTCGATTGATGAATATTCGAACATTCGTTAAACGTTTACTGTCAATTATTTCATTAAAAATTCTTAATTTTTTTCAGACAAGTTTTGGCGTTTACGTAGACACGTATAATTTTTTTTCGTCGCTCGAATATTATGTAAAATTGCAAAATTAAATATTTCAAAGATATTTCTATAGAATAAATTCATAAATTAATATATTGCATCAAAAGAGAAGTACACGTAGAAGCATAATCTCAATAAAGTTGAATTCAAGTTAACATAAACTCCCGAATGTATGCTGTTGTGCAAGCGCTTTGATGACGTTCCAATAATGAATACAGAAATGTATCACAGTATTGTGGTTCATAACATATTGATATGATCGATAAAGTTCCAAACGAAATAATTACTCTGATAAGCGGCCAAATTTACGATCAATTCAATTTATTTTATGACCAATTACATCGTGATGAAGATTACACAATCTCTATAATGAGAAATTATTTTTTTAAAAAAACGACTTAAACAATATATTGAACTGAAATTTGGGCAAGATTAATGCGTGTCAATGTACAAATGAACCTGATCATCCACATAGATCGACCATTGTTAAAAAAGAAAAAAATATCGAACGGAACGGGTAATCACATGATATGAATCATTATGCTATCAGAGATGTTCATTGTTGCTAGCATTGTTGCTATTGAGTAGTTCATCTAGGAGATACAGCTATGCGATGCGTTCAAAATAACAGAATAGAAGAAAAGAACATAATTGAATGGGATTGCATAATTTAATTTTCGAAAAGAAATGCAATTTGTATTTTTCAAGTGAATCTCATTATATCTCCGGGGCTCATATGTTCGTATCACGTATCACTTCAGTTGGTACTTGAATAAAAACCAACTTATCGATTCACTTCGGTGCGATTCTCTCTCGTCAATTCTTCTTTCTTCAAATTGTGTATTTGTCTATTCTTATGCTGTTGTTTTTGTGGGCTATGGCGCTGTTGCTGCTGATATTTCTTCACACAATATTGTTTTATTAATACGGTTATCAGTGGATCAATACCTACCAGACGCGTTCATTGTTTACATGCCGATGGGCACAAAAATGTTGAGAGATAGAAAATAAAATAAGCGACCGTTCGTAGCATTTAATGGCAAAAAAGTTAATTCAATGGCACACAGTGTTTGTGCATGTACAACACATGAGGAATTTTTATGAATGAATTACAAATAGAAAGAACAAGATGGTCGATTGTTATTGCACACTTTGCGTTGTTTTCCGTCGGATGTTTGTATTTCAGGTTCGTTTTTTTTTTCTTCTTCGGTGATCTCAACATATGAACGAGAAACAAAAACAGAACTGAAATGCCAACGATATGAGCAAAAAGCCCGAGCAATGACAACGGAAAAAGGAGCAAACCAAATTCACATGTGATTGCAGTTTTTGTGTGTCACTTCATTGGTAGCCACTGTCGATTATATCATTGGGCGAACAAGTTTCAAGTCAAACTGCCACACATAAAACCAAATCAAATTTATGTTTCTTTTTATTCTCTATCCAACTTACTTAATTTTCATTTTTCTTCTCTCTCCCTCTCTTGCATTCGGAGCAAGCATATGCGATGGAAAAAAAGCACGCACGGAAAATTAAAATGTTGAAATGAACGAATAAAGCAAAACCGAATAAAAAGAAATTGAGACGAAAACAAGCGCGATACGACCGTTGGCGGTTCGGTGAGATAACAAGCCAATAGTTTTCGTGTTAAACAAACAACTAACAATGACGCAAATCAACGAATAAACACTGATTTTTTTTTCGGTAGAATGAAAAAAAAAATGCTGCGGTTGCACCGTGATTCGTTCTGTATTTATCCAAGCGCAAAAGCATAAACAATTTTTCATTTATGTCTTCTTTTTGCTCGACATTTTTTCGGTTCTGAATAAAAGCAACAACAACAACATCTCAAATGCTATTTATTTTACAGAAATAAAAACAGACTGTGGATTTGAGAATCAGAAAAACAAGACAAAGAAACTGAATTTGAATTGTGACAGTGATCGCTGTTTGATGCTATCTAAAATTAAGATGATGTGCTATTATAAGAAAATAGGTGCATTGGGTGCACGTGTGTTCCAATCTGGGATGATTTTGTTCCATCTTTTTGAATCAAAGGAATAGACTTAAGTCTAATTAGATTGCAATTTATGATATCCCGAATAAATGTTTTTTTTTCTCTTCTAACAAAAATCGTTCCGTGTCAATAACCGTATGTACTCCGAATACTAATGGATATGTTCAGAAACATGATATATTTTGTATCATAAAAAAGCTACAATTTTTTTATCGTTTGACGAGTGTTGGATACTTGAATTCACACGTCGGATTGCGTCACCACACACTGGAATCATCGTCGACGCCAATGTGTCCATAAGCCCACCAATCTATTATATATTAACGGCAACAATACAATGAGCAAAACCAATTATTCTTATAGTTTAATCAACTGAAGCGAATTTAACGTATATCAAGTAAATAGAAACGCGAATTTATAAGCATGACATAAGCGCTCTTGTCATTCAAATTTGACAGATTTTATGAGTTTTTCGGTGGACGAAATGCGGTGCGCGTTCGTGATTGAGAAAAAAGAATTTGTGTTGAAGGCAGTCGGTAATTTAATTACTTTTTTAGCCAATACGGTCCCAAGTGTAAAGAACAAACTGTGTTTAAGTGCCAAAACGGAACATATAAATAGCAGTGAGGCTTATCTTATTAGACTTAAGATGATTGTGGCCAACAATCAAGTGAATTACTCTTGAATTTTACGACCAATGTACATAAATCATTGTAAATGCACAAATGAAAAAGTTTTAATTTGAAACTTTATATGAGATTCTTCGATTGAATGGAACCATGGAAATGGCTTGTCTTTTATTTCAATTTGCTCTTAACGGTCTAGTCGTTGCATTCGAATTTTTCTCGTATAACCGTCAGTTCATAGGCGAAGGCTAAAATTATGTAATTCACATGTCTGACGGGCGTTAGGCCATAAACTGAAGTACATTGTCACTTTGTCGAAAAGAACCGATTCCAAGCAACACACATGATTTATAAACAAAAGCGAGAGAATAAGTAAGAAGAAAAACAGAATCGTGAAAGAATACGGCATAGTGATTGCTTTGCACACAGACAACTTGAAGTAATTAGCTTTGTCAGTCATTCTCTCGCTCTCTAATAGAGAGTCTCTATCTTTTGACAACTAATTCGTTTCACTTTTTATCACGCACACGCACACCATCTCCTCGATTCATCTCCGTGTTCGGCCTCACAATGATTGTCGCATTGTGAAAGAATTCACTGTTTCCGTATTATAGTATTTGCCGAACAACGCCAGCGACTATCATTCGCCGTCAAGTTTTTGTCTTTTAAACTGAAAAATAAAACGCTACGACTAATCTAGGCTTAATACATCCGAATTAACAGTGATCATAATAAATTTGAAAACATGCGTGAGCTAGCCACTCAAATCAACAGCAACAAATGAATAATGATTTATTGATTTGTATCATCGTTGTTAAACTGATTTTTAATATATAATTTCGTTTGAAAGAAGAAAAAAAAAAACAGAAACGAATATTCCATTGTTTTCTAGCGATCGTCACGTTTGCGTTTTGATTTCATTCACTTTCCAATTTTCTTTATGCGCTGTAAAACAACAGATATGTTTTGAATTCAATGTGCCTGTATGCGATGTAAATACTCTGGTGTAAAACAGGCGCCAGATTTTCATAAATAGAAGCATATGCGAACGAATTCAGTCAAAATGGAAAAAAAATTGAAAATCTGTGAATGAGAAAAAAATGAAGACGAAAGAAAGAGTGGAAAGACGAACCAAAAAAAAACTACTACACAAAAATGATATGTTTACAAATTGATTTATTATGTGACAATCGTACGAATGTCAAGTCTTGATGTAAAAAGGTCATATCCACAAGGGAAAAATAACGATTAATCGAATAGAATTCGAATGGAGACGAAGAGAAATCGTGTTGAGTGTATTGGTCAAAGTAATCATAAGGCGAATACGTTGTTTTCGTTGAAAATCATCATAAATACCACACGGATGCTACTGTTTTGGTGCGCACGTTTCACATAGCGCCCAGACTTTTCGTCTCCATTTTCATTGTTTGCCATTAACTCTGATGCAAATCAAAATGGATAAGACATGAACGATAGTTCACGCTCTCTTTGGCTTCAGTGTACCGTTTTATTCGCAGAGGGTAAATTATGTCAAGCGATTTAGTTTTAAATTCTCGATTTACTTCGAACGTTTCCATTCGCATTGAATTATTCATTGTGCCCTCAACAGACACAAAACCATAGACAGACGCATATCAATCCAATTTTGGCTGCTCTTTTTTTGCTTACTTCGATTCAATTCATGTCGGTGTGATTTAGTTCCTGGGTTGCAGTACCATAAACTAAATTGGTTTAAATGGCCCATTCATTGCTCTTTCAGAATCATAACATGCTTAGCCTTGCTTAGCCTCCTTTCTCATCCAATATATTCACTCTCATGTCTCTTTCATTCCCCGATAGTCCTTTTTACTTTAACAAAAACTTTGTTAAATCTATTGATTTTCCCTCGTGTGTACGCGCTTTGCCTACGATATATAGTTTCCCATTGTGACCTCATTTCATGTAATTGGATATTTTTATATTGTATGTGTGTGTGTGTGTGTGTTAGTGTCTTCGTTTTTTTTATAGGATAACTCACAATTTAATGGGCCATTTCCATAAGCAATGAAATAATGTCTATTTGCTACTGCATAATTGGAATTTAGCATTCGCACTCTCAATTGCCAACAGCTACATTGGCAAATCAAAAAATTAAATAGGTGTGTATGGTGTTTATTGGCCGGTACGAGTCACTTGAAATTGGAATAACCATTTCAAATTGGGCTGCATTAATACGCTTCCTACTCTCTCGCCTGATTCTCTGAAAAGAAAATGCAAAATGAAAGAGTAATATTTGCCACAATCTTTAATCCCTACACACAGCTCAGCAATAAACACAGATGTGATTCATGCATGCGTGCCTGAATTCAATTTTTCGAATTTGCTTTGCTAAAATTTTTGTTCATTGCATTATTTTTATTCAATATTTCACGCAGATGCATGTGCTGTGCTTCCTTTTAATTTTCTCAGTAAATGGATTTGGAATTCGTTTTGCACACTAAATTTATACGACGATATTTCATGTTATGTACCCATTTCTTTTATTATTGCATTGACTTTGAGTTTCTATTTTGGCTAATTACTCCGACATCTCATTGCTATTTCAATTTTAAATACGAAATATGCACAGGCATACACATCGATGCGGAGTAACGTGCAATGATATTCGTTGATTGTATGCTCTCTCGACCGAATGTTTTCTCTAATTTTGATTCCTCTTTTAAATGGATCAACTTGAGAGAGAAAAAATACAAGGGGGAAAACGCACATGTTGCACTTTCGAAAGAGAAATAAAAGCGAAAGCGAAAAGAAACGTAGAAAACGTCCTATATTTTTTTCTCTATAGAGTTCATCAATTGACATTGTGCAACAATAACTTCGGTCCGGAATGTTCGAGCCAATAAAAATACACGAACATAATTAAAATCGAATAAAAATAATAAACAAATGAAATATAACGATTTATACGCGGTGATTTGGGATCGTATGCATTTGGCCTGATTCATGAAAATTGACCGCAAACTACTCGCGGTAACTATGTTTATGTTCTTTCAATTGCAACATTTCATATATATATTTCGATTATTTTTTTCTCTTTCCATCATTTGACTTGTAATTTGACTCAGATTTTTATTTTCAGAAAGAAATGAGTCAGGATCCTGAAGTTAGTAGTATAGTTGAATCATCGAAAATAAAGAAAACGAAGCAAAAAAAATGTAGAACAAAACGCTAAACAACACATTACAAATTGAATGCATCCGTTTATTTTTGTGTTTGTTTGCATATGTGGTGCGGCATGAGTCAAATGGAGAGCCGCAATAATCCTTTCATCGTGCTCATGTAATGTGCGTAAAGTGAAAGAAAATTTCTACATATTTTCCATTTAATAAATTCCTATAATGTGCGATTATATGATTTGCCATGCAACAGCAGTGTGACCAAAATGAAGACAACAAACATGGTATAGAAATTCGGTTCGTGTTTTCATTGTTTGCGTCGAAAGCAGTTCGCATACATAGACCCACCACATCGGTGTTGGCCGTGCCACTGAACCATTGCTACTTTTTATTCGGTCAATGTGTTTCTTTTGTTTTGTTTCTCGCATCGCATGTAATTTTGATAATTACCAAATGTGTTTTTTACATGAATTTCTTTTTTTTGGCCAAAATAAAACAACAACCAAAAGACCGCATTGCTATCAAATTTTATTTGAATTACAACGGAAGAAGTAGAATAAGCAGAAGCAGAATGTTGGTTCTTTTTATTGTATAAAACTGCATCTGCTTAAAATTGAATGAATAGTCTATGACATCAATTGTCACAACTGTGTGTTCAAATTTCATTTTCCAAACGATGCTGCAGGCACATAAAATATCTATATCCATTTTTAATTTTGCGCTAAGCAACAATCGAGCTGTTCGACAACTTTTACAATTGTTATCGATTGAATGGATCGACAAAAATAATAATAATAATAACAGTAATCAATATCCGTGGTTAAAAATGATCTACTTTCTGGATTTTAACTATACATATCTTTTCAAAACCGATCAAATTGCACATCAGCACACTATCCTAGATTAATTTCATTCATGGTGCCATCGATGACGACCGAAAGAAGTCGCAGACGATGTAATAGTTTCAAAATAAGTAACTAGCAATTATACCAACCGTGTGTTTCTCCCAAAGACGAACTATAACCGCGTCGTCGAGAGTATGTGTGTGTGTGTGTGTTTGTGTGCAAGATGCACTCGAAATAATATTGAGCAAAGTTCTTACATCTACCAAAACCGCATCATTGTATAGAATAACGGCATCAACATCAATCACGTCATAATAACAAATATATGTATTGCCAAACGAAATTGATAAACCAGATAGTGTAAGTATTATACATTGAAGGAACGAATAAATTCCAGAAGGGAAAAAAAAGAGATGACGACGACGGCGAACAATAACAACCAGCAAAAAAGAAATTCTGCTGTATCAACGAATTTGCGGCGTCGCTTGGCGTTTAAAAATATGCAAAACCAGAATTTGCGACAGAAAAAAACACACACTGCATTATTCTACATTATGCATATGCTAGTGCTTGCTTGTCTTAACCTTTTTTATAGATGTTGTTCGCCAGTTTTGGGCTTCTTGATTTCACTGACAAAACATAATCGAATCCACGCGTTCACACCACAAATGACCGTTTCGGTTCATGATTATTTCAAGTATCACTTCCAATTCTCATATGGTTTCCGTATGAAATTCATGTGCGTGTGCGTCAATTCATGCATGTAGTATTTAGTCAAAAATCGAGCGTGTACACGGAGCACGTTGCGATAGTTGTGTCCACATGGAAATGAATTCGATTGCATTGTCTTTCAAATCGAAATAGATGTAAATGTGTCTCTCTTTCTTTCGTTCGCCGACCACATTCAACGACAAGAACATTCTATTGAGTGTTCCCTCGCGATTGATAATATTCTATATACTCAACGAGAAAAAAAAGCAACAGCTAACGGTCGCAAACGCAGCCTATTGGTTTGCTTCGACTGACATTCTATACCCGCGCATTCGACCAAACTCATAGTCGCAAGGTTTTCAGCGACTCAACTCATGTGCGATGTGTGTATTTTGTTTTTATATTGTGACTAATATATGAACCATAGAATCGTTGTTATTGTTGTTACTTCGTTATTACTATGAAACCATCGCGCTACTTTACGACATCGTCACATTCACATTTGATTTCATATTAACAATATGACATTTGTTTTACTTCACTGGTTTTTTCCTCTGTTTTCACAAATATACATTTTGAAAATACGAACTTGAAGAAACAATCCAGTAATTATGGGAGTACAGTGGTTCGGATTTCTTTCGTCGTCTGACGTAAAAAGTTCGGTAACCTAAAGAGAATGCTCGCATGGTTGGTCGCGTATACGGTCCCAGTGTACGTGCGAAGCAACTATGAATACGAGCGAGCAAAAATGACAATCAAGCGAAGAATTCATTGTGTATTGGAATAGTGTATGCTGAGCATTCGCAGAAGAAACTCGAATCTCGCGCTCGTTTTTCGTGTCGATTTATCAAAAATACAAAATTCGGTGCGTCGTATACCGCGCGTATAAATACGAAAACGAAAAAAAACGACGAAAGAAAATCGACCAGTTATTGCGATTTATTAGTAACAAAAAAAATCGGTTTTATTTGTATAGTGGCTTCGAGCTTTGAATTTCGGTTAACGACCGTATGTTTCATGCAAATTGGTGATAGTTTTATTTTGTTTTTGTTATTTCGTTCGTTCATTGATAATTCGGTGAAATAGACTGAAATCACGGAAGTGAGAATTTGTGTTTGAAATAACGTACACTTGCCGAAATTATAAATCGATGATTCGTCAATTTCAATAGAACACCACTCCATAGAGGTAAAATCAATAAACAAAACCCAATTTGAATTTAGAAATGAGACAAAATAAAAAAATTGTGTAAACGACGATGACAAAATAAAGTCTAAAAAAAGAAACAACACGCTTACTTGTTCTGAACCGTTGAAAATTGACACTGAAACTTGTTGTTTTCAAACAATGTTTGCCGAAAGACGAAAAATTATGCCAGTGTTTGCCCAATGGAACTACGACAAATTTGGTGTTCATAGTTAGCGTTTATTAATTGTCGTTTGAAACGAATGACAATTTTGGAGAGTTGAAAAAAAAGCGAACGTTGCTAATGTAAAATGAAAATGAGATTTCAACAAACAAACCCCCTTTTTTAAAAAAATTAGTTCCAGTTCCATTAGGCGGCAAGCCTTTGATTGCCGTAATAGAATACATAAATTGTTGTTGTTTTTTTACTGTTTGAAAAAAAAAAATTGGGCAACCGAACCCAATTTAAAAGCGGGCAACGTATGAAAGAATAATAATTAGGCAAAAATGATGGAATAAAATGTACGGTCGTGCTTGAAGAGATTGAGGAAAAAGTGATTGGGCTTTCAATGTCTTTAGCATGCAAATGTGATGAGATTTGCGGTGTTTAGTTATGCGATCGAATGATCAACTTTGATTATATGTTACAATAATAATTGATTCTGATTGCATAATTTGGACACATGACATTTTGATAAATGGTTATCGGTTGGTCAAATGAGATTTTATGTTTCATTTGGCCGCATTCATGCCCATTGACAATGACCGAATATGAAGAGAAAAAAAATCACGATCATAACACAAGAAAATTACAATCGTTTAATCAATGAAAGACAGACTGACAGAACATGCACTTTACAAAATGAAAGAAAAAAGATCGACATACAAATCGTTTTTTTTTCTCTTCGCTCCTTGATGAATTTTATGCAAACAAAGATCACAGCGAAAAAGTCAAGTTGAAACCTGTTTGCAATGGTTTATTAGAACCAATCAACTAAAATCTCGTGCAATCAATGGAAATGTGTTTATGATTGCGGCTTTTCATAATGTTTTATAATAATTGTTATTTTTCTTCTTTCGTTTTTATCGTTTCTCATCGTTTCAGTCGTTCTTCATTCGTAATTAGCATGTACCACAATTTCATTTCACGGCCCAAGTTATCTTCAACGAAAATTAAGATACATCGCCGTTTTCATTGATGTTGTTGTTGTTCCGTGAGTTCCGTGGATCAATTGCATGGAATTCGTTCGGTGTGTGGTTATTTTACGAAACCATGCAATTTAATTTTGAGTGTTGTTCACTCATTTTTCGGAACATTTACATTCAAACAATGACTTGCGGCCATGTAAGTCTCTATATATTTCCACATTTTACTTTACTTTCTTGTTTCATTTACATTTTTTTTTTATTCGTTACTCTCGCAGAGAGAAATGCATTCATCCGAGATTCTTTAGCAATTCATTTTGAATTTTGGTTTGAGAATAAATAAACTTGAAGAAAAACGCATTCTACATCATTTTCTCGCAATTCAATACTTTTACTTGGAATTTTTTTATTTCACTTTTGGACGATTCTATTTCAGATCAAAATGAAATGGTTTTATGTTTTTTTTCATTTGTCAAGAATTACATATCTAACAAACAGTCTCATTTAGAAATTGTCTCATTTTCTTCCACCAAGTTTTAAATGAAGTTCATTGTCGCAGTTCGCTAGCTCATTATGAAGAATTCATGCGGTTTCATTTGCATGGTATGGTTGATTGCATTTAAATATCATAATCAACAACAAATATGACTATGACTGTGACAACGACACCTAAGACCGAGAGTTTTATGTTTGTACAGTGAACAGAATACAAAAAAAAATACCAATAGCAATAACGTGCACTGCGTTGAAACAGTAGACAAATAATTGAATATAAAGACAATAATATCGAATTCACGTATTTTAATATGCGACAATTTTCTGCTTTGCTGGCATTATTCAGCGTCCCCCGGTGTTTTTTTCTCTCCTCTTTTTCTTCTGCTTCAGTTTTGGTGTGGTTTTTTATTTTTTGTGCCGTTGAAATGCTACCGTTTGTGACTTCTGTGCGCTACATAATATCGCGGTGTTCTACGTTCGAAGACACACCTGGTTCAGTTTGTCCTCGGCCAAGACCAATTTTTTAACACCTAAATTTCAACGCCTTCCATACCACACTCGAACGTGAATCACATTATGAATTACCACCGATAATAATTGTGAATCATGATAAACATGTGAATCAACCTAAAATACAAAAAAAAAACCGAAAATAGTTTGAATGAATTACAACGAGATGTTTCATCGTTCTAAATTTTGAATTGTGTGTACACATCGTGTGATGATGAGACATCTTTATTCGATGGCAAACAAAGTCACCACGTCAGATGCACTGTATGCACAACAACCGTGTCACACTTAATCACATGATATTTATCGTCGTGTGTGCCTTTATATTGCATTATAATCGGACATTTAAAAATACATTAGATATGATTACTGTCATTATGATCGATTGAAATCGGACGATGGGAGCACGAGCACCGATGGCCATCATTCATAATATTGTTTGTTTCAATTTTTGCGGTGATATATTCGGTTGCTATATCATAAGCCTTGCGTCACATAAAGCAGACAAAAAAAACTTGACGGGCGCGAGAACTTTAATTAGTGCTGCCAACTAATGCATATATCGAATGCGGCGCTTTCACTTTTTTCTTCTTTATTACGTTAAAGCTAGAATTATATTAGCTAATCTTGATGCTCGGAAAGATAACCAGTGCCCACAGACTGTGGGCCATAGTGCAGCAAGTGGAAAAAACGTAAATTGAATCATTGTTTTATGAAGATAATAAAGGAGTAAATTTGAACAGTTCGGTGAAGGAGACTGAAAGCTAGCTGCGGCATTGTTAGAAATTGTGTTAGAATGTAGTCGGGTGGCATGCTTTGATCATTTATTATACCTATAAACGATGGCCCACATTTTTCGTGAGCGTAATTCTCGGACCCAGCTCACGACATTCTTTTTCCGCTCTTGTTGTTTTTGCCTCTAATTTCTTTATATTTTTTTTTGTTCACTTCATCATCATCAGCATGCTTTTTTCTCTCATCTCTATCTCTCGGTATCCTTCAATTCACACTTTTGCAACAATTTTGGATATGATCCAATATTCATGTGATCCATTTACTGTGGATGTGTGTGTTATTTCCCCTTCTTTTGTTATTTCCAATATATTCTATATTTTATTTTATTTTTCCGTTGAAAAATCATAAATAGCTTTTTTTCGCTCTCTTAAATTCCTATATTCATTTTATTCTAATAAGTTACACCTAGTTTTCCAATAAATCTTCTGATTTAAGCGCACGCATCAAATGTGTGTCAATGTGTCGTGAGTGAAAATTACATAACATTGATTCTATTTAGTGGCTTTAGGTATTTTGTACGAGGCTCAAAGGATTATTTCGATTTTACAAACAAACCAATTATTTATAACTCGTCAAATTCGTTGACAGAAGCAATCTATTTCTTGTTTTTGCCGTTTCTGTCGAAGATACCCACTGTGTCAATGAAATCAAGGCTTTCAAACTACATTTTGATACGTATAATTGGACAATTTTATTGTCGAAATCCAATCGGAATGTGTGCGTGTGTGTGCATTGTGCAAACAGTTCTGATTAGTGTTCAAACTGTCTCGTGGCGGCAAAGAAAAAAGACAACATGATTCACAGGTGGTTTTTCTATGCGTACGAGTCGCCAAATACCTTATCTCGCCCTCTGACTATATGTGGATTTAAAGTTTGATCTTGTGATACTGTTTATATTTTGATGTTCATTTATCGCATAGAAACCGAAAGGCATACAGCGTTATAAAATTAAGTATTTAATTAATAATGTATTTTTACACTGAAATTTTATGTTACCAACTGATTGTCGTCATCCATAAATTGAGTAATCAAGATTAACGTAAAATGACACTGTTCGGTATGAAAAATGAAGATCGAATGTGTAATGTTTGCGCATTCCTACACGCGACACATACCGATGACACTATCTTAGTGTTTCATCAATGATAAAGATACAAATTAAAAAAAGGGGGAAAACGGTAACAGCACAACTGATTTTAAACAATAGACAAAACAGATTCATTTTTTACGATTATTTTTCGATGGTAACAAGCACCGGCGTACCTTGTATGTATGGATAATTTCGATTGCATTCATGCCACCATATAATGCACATACGATATCCAGCAGAAAATGTGTGAAGAAAACAATGAACGAGAGATACGAATATTATGATAAAATGAGATTTATTTTTTTGTTCATGCGCATATGAATGTCGCTTTTGTTGACTTAATGCATTTTTGTTTTTCAAAGGTATCAATTTATAAAGCGCTTTTCTTATCAATGTGCAAATCAAAATATTTGCTGTTGTAACCCTATTTTCAATGTAAACGATGAATCACATAAACATTTCTTATCTCTCACAATCACCGTTACGTCGTCAATGTGTAACAACAACTTATTATTGTTATTTTTTTCTCCTTTCAACTAGACTTGAAGCGAACATAATCGATTTTAATGGGCTTTCTTTGGTGCCAATTTTACATTTTTGTTTCGTTAACAATGAAATGAAGTGTGTTTCAAATGTTCATATTAATTGTCACTAAATGAAGGAGGTCAAAAATATGCATAAATCAACGGAACCAATTGAAGAAAAAAAAACCATGTATTATTTTGATTGGCAAATTCCAAATCAAATAAAAAAGGAATTGCCGATGGAAACTAGATCGGTTTGGTGTTTGATTTGACCACACAATGTACAATGATGATAGGCACTGAGAATATGGCAAAAATTTGAATGACACCATACGACTGACATGTAACAAGATAAATTATGAGTTTCTTCAATTGAATCGGATAGGCGTTTGAATATAATATAGAAATGCCTGCCAGCCTCAATGTGATATCAATCGAAAATCAACACCCATTGAATCCCATTGTGTTCGACAGTTCGACTTCATGAACGCAATTCATTAAGTGTATCCATTTGATGGAGCTCCACTAGTTGACAACATAGTGATATGCACGCAGCATGGCACCGAAAAAATTCGGATCGAGAGAAGAAGAAAAAAAAAACGTAATTTTCGCGCAAGTTACGATTGAAAATGGCACCCATGGGGAAAATCGCCTTGTGCCATATTCTTATCTCATATGAAGTATTTGCCCGATAGTAATGTATGAACAGAGGCGAGCCGCATAGTATTTTTTCTCTCTATCTGGCACGCACCACACACACTCCAATCGATTCGCATAAAATCAAAATGAAAATAAATGACATTGTGTGTCTTAAGTCGCTCATTTGCATTGCAAATAGAAAGTGATTCTAAAAACTAATTTCCATTTCCATTATAATTTTGACGTCTTGTAAAAAATGGTGTTTTTGCCTACAAGGCAAAGTTTTAACAGCAACAATTCTCAGCCAATTGACCAGTGGGCGCAATCGATTCTATTGTTTTGTTCTCGGCAAATGAATAATCGAATAAAACACACAAACACTTATGATCAATGTAAAGTATGATTAATGGGAACAGCTCAAGGGAAGTGCATTTTACAGCCGAAGTCAAGTCTCTTGAAGAGTTTTCAAGTGTTATATTAAACATTTGTGTAATGACTAATTTTCATCAAAAATTTGCAATTGACTCTCGCAATTGTGTGTATGTGTGTGTGCGCTCCTCGGGCAACAAAAACTTAATTCGTTCCGCTTGCGGCTTTAAATTGAAAACAGATTACTTTCTCATTAAGAAAAAGTGAACAAATGGACGTTTTAAACAAACAGGCGTCAACGACAACATTTGAAATGTGCACACTCTTTTTTTTCTCGCCTTTCATCTATGATCTTTTGTTTAAGAGCAATTCGCTTTTTTGAGTTCAATTCTAAACGCTTGTATTTTAATTAAGTTCCAGTCTCTTTCTTTTTATTCACTTCGAATGTGTTTGTTCTTTGAAATGGTGAACGACGGCACAGAAAAAAGTGTAATTTGCATTGCAAATATTGCATTGAATTTTACTGTAAAACAGATGTGCCACTTGTGGCAACAACAAAGACCGATGATGAAATTCAATCATAGACATTTTTTTTTTCGTGGAATCATACAAATTTTCCTCTTATTTTTATTTTTCGTACATTTTCGCTCATCTCCACCTCGCTCAATCTATATATTTTGTCAATAAATTGTGTACATCTTCATCTTGGTATTTTCAAATGAAAACACATTAATAACAGCACATTTATTTCAATTTATTTGTTTTTCGAGTTGACGATTTTAAGTATATTTACTTTGCTCTGACACGCTCCGTTTTTCCTATAGGAAGATATCATATATGATCCATAAATTTTTGTTCTTCTTCTTCTTCTTTCTTTTTGTCGTTCTTTTTCTTTTTTCAAGAAATAAATTTAAGTGACCACATGATATCATAGGTTGACTGGTGACAAAATAAAAATGAAACTGCTTACATCACAGTTTTTCGTCACATATCATTGAAATGAGAGTACGAAAATACATGCCAGAATGAACTTTATATTCTTAAATGACATATTCCGCAATTTTCGCTACGTTCCAGTTCGTATAAAAAAGAATACTGTGAGAATATAAACTAGATTTTATGTGCCTAGGTCATCTAAAAAAATGTTTCTTCGAATATTCAAAGGACAGTATCATTTTACATTGTGCTTGTTCAAAGTGTCATTTTTGCTTACCAGAACGAAAACAATCAAATTAAAGCCATTTATTAAAATATGTGTTTGGGTTTTCGTTTGAAACAAACAAGCAAAAAAAAAAATTCGTCATATTTTGTCAATGTAAAAGGAATTTTTGGGTCAAATTCGGCGGAAATCGATTTTTTGAATGCGGCGGAAACGAAAATAACAAACCTATTACTAATATCTGTTTTTCTCTTTCGTCACATTGATTCCGAAATCAATAGTATCTCATCTGGTATAAATTTCTCGCGTTAAAGCGCAAAAATCAAAGCCATTTCTAAAATTACTCTCATTTGGAACTAAATACGGCTTTTATATATGTGTGAAAATAATTTGCGTGTACAACTAAAAATAACACGCACAAAAAAAACGGAACTTGAACGAAAGAAAGAAGGAAACGAAAATGAATAACAGCAACAACAAGTCGACAGACGATGAAAAGTAATCAACGAAAATGAAAAACCGAAATCATCTCGACTAGGCGATGATGCCACACGGGTCGTATTACACATATTCATTTTGATTTATAAAATTCACTTTAATCTATAAACGCTATAATTTGGTATGTTTAATGATAAAAAATGGGCAAAAGATAACTTTGGCTGAGCTCAAATCAGCTGTTTCTGGCTTTAATTTAATATAATCAAGCCGAATCGAGTTTATTGATGTCGCATATGACGAACCGATAAGATGAGTTGACATTTTATTTTTTTTACCGCAAATATCTGAATAAACTCTTTAGATTCGTTGACCTTCAACATGAATAAAGTGTACACGACACCCGGCCAAAAATAACACCAAATTGAATAACATCTTGCAAAAAACCAAACCATTTCTTTTTAGCTGATAATAGTTTATTTCATCGATTTTAAATAACATTTCATTTCTTTTACAGACAATTGATCGGTGAAGTGAACCAAACTAGATGTGTGAATCGCTTATTGAAAGCATGTGACACTCCTTCAAACATATTTTCATTTGTAATAACAATGTAAATGGGCGATTTCGGTAACTATGCACGGAAAGAAAACAATTCATCAATAGTTCTCTAACTGAAATAGAAAAGTATGTTGATGAAGCGCGTCGAAACGGAATAGACACAAAAAAAAATATCACAAAGAAAAACGAAAAGTATAAAACAGTGTAAATCGAAAAGTTAAGATCATATATTTGGACATATTCAAACAAATAAATTTTGCATGAAATCGGATCTACGACGCATGCAAACGTTGCGCTCACTTTAGTTCATTCACAACGACAACCGTTTCAATCAGCTTACAACTGTGTGGCAGCACAAGACGACGACGACGACTGCGGCAGCGGCAACAACTGTATAATACAAATCACAACACGATAAATTTAATTCAATCACCATGGACAGTGGATACATTAACGAAGGTAAAAACAAAATCCATGATGAATAGTCTCTCATGCTAGAAATTTCAAGATCACGAGCGTCGCTCAATGCCTCATACATTAACCATGTATGAGGCTTAACTTAGTGTTCTTGGTTTTTTTTCTTCATCTTAAAGTTTCTCGCTGTTTTTTTGTTTATTTTGGCGCGTTTTTTATTTCTTTGTTTGGCCATTGCTATTCCATATCACTCTGAATGCTTGACTTTGAATTGTTGACTGGAGATTCGACGGTTTTTTTCTACAAGAAGTTGTGCCTTGAATTGCGTTGGCGCTTTTTTCCAAGAAATCCAATTTTTAAGACTGTGCACACATGGGATAAAGCTCATTTAATAAATTAAACAATTTTTGCATGTAGCATTTAGTTATCTCATTGGCTACGGGTTATCTCATACATTTGTTTGTTTTCTACCTGAAAACCGAATCTGTTGCTAGTTTTTGTGCAGAGAGATGAATGAGGAGCATTTAATCCATCTACGTTTGCATTTGTATTAGAATGAATACAGTGATAGATTCATCGTCCAAAATTGATGATGTCATCTTTTCATAATAAACTTTCCGTTTTCATTTATTCCTTTTTCTTTTCTAACAAGAAACAGATACATAGTCACACACAACGTACGAAACGTTGTGGATGATAGACGCCACACGAATACACAATCAATTTGATGTGTTGCGTACTGAAAGCAGCAGATGAGCATAGTTTCACAGTGAACATATCAAATATTTGTGTTGCGTTTCAGTTTTATTTTCATTTGGCATTCGCTCTCTCTCTCTCTCTCTCTTTTCTTTTCACGCGATTATCGACAATGTCGCACATTATTTGCTTTAAAATTCATGTGCCGTGTGTATAATCGAACTCACTCTCAATGTTTACATTGAGTGAAGAGAAACAAAAAAAAGAAGCTGAATTCGACACAGAATTCGTATCATTGTCAGGCACGGTTATCAATCGGTCTCTTTGAAATTGTCGCCGTTAAATTTCTGACATTAAAAAAAATCAGCGATTCTTGGCGTAAATTTCCTAACAAGTTTCATTCATCATTGAAAGAAATATTATTTTCGTATCGCACCAATTTACATATCACTTCACGGTGAAATAATATTTACCCGAAAAAAATATGATGAGTAATTACATTTCTTTGATTTATTTGCTAAATAAGCATTTTTGTTTCTTCGTTTGAAACGAACATTGAATGAGATAAGTGCTTAATAGAAGTGTGTAAACAATTAGAACTGGTGCAAATGCTAACGGCTGGATGGATTCAACGAACAATATTTCTGAACATGAGTTTCTATGCTAGTTGCGCTTGTCTATGAGTGTAACAAGATGTTTCTCATTATTCAATCTTCTTGAAATAACAACTTTAAAAACGAGATGCTTTATCCGTACGATAGCATAAAATCTGCATGAAAATAGTCGACGTGATTCCTTCGAAATGCAACTACAGTTACGCCATTTCACTGGAATTGCCACGTTACTTTCTTCCGTTAGTGTTCTTTTTGTTTCATCAAGCATCAATTTTAATCGTCGCCGTATTTTTTTCCCTCCTGATTCTCATTTTAAATCACGCACTTCACTTTAGGTTAACTTCATTCACGCTCTATTTAACACTTACGCGTGTTACTATCGACCAATCGAATGAACGATTGAACCTATAAACAAGCGGCAAAAAAATTTATTAGCATATTTTTCTTTTGCCATAGTCCATTTATGTGTTTTTATTTTTTTTTTTCAATTCTCCGTTTATCGACGATCGTTCATTTCGCCCGAATGCAAATGTTTTGACTGAAACAATCTGATCTTGTTTAATGCATTTAATTATGTCTATTCGATACATGGGATAATTTTCTTCGTTTATGCATGTTTCCCACTGATTTGTGGCGATCGATTGCGATACAGTCTTATATCATTTCAAGTGATTCACTTGCGAATGTTCAAACTTCCAATTAGAAACACTTTCGAGTAGATTAAGAACATTTTCTCCGCGTATTTGCATCGACTGAAATGTTTTGAATGTCACCATAAATGTCAAGCGCTCCATTAATTGATTCATGATCAGCAGCAATGAACAACACAAATACTGGCAATTTGCATTACGACACACTTTAAAATAAAGGCAAGACAATCTATAATTATTTGATTATTTTGTATTCGAGAAATTCTATGATCCGTTTGGCATTTCAGAGTGATTAATTATTTTATTATTTATTTTCATTAATCATTTCGCTATTGAAATTTTACCATACAGTTCAATTGAGTGTAAAATTTCAGAAACGAATTATATTTTAATACGACTAGATTTTTTTTTAAATCGAATTGTTTAACACTTGTATTTCTAACTAACTAACCTTTTTTTTTATTTCGAAAAATGACCATAAAAAAATTATTATGCCCCGAAAACCACCCACATCATTTTCGATTTCATTTAACCATATCATGGATAAAAATTAATTCCAGCGGATACAGTGCTGAGTGACGACGAAGGTATGATTGGTGTCAAACAAAATAACAACATATATTATTCAAATTTTTTTTTTCGTTTTCTTTGCCAATCTATTCGATGTACTGTTTGCAAACAGATGCATTTTATTCACATTGGTGCTTATTTTGATTTATAGTAGACTTGTCTGCCACAACTCATTGAATGAATTTAAATTTTAAATGTATCACTTTTAATCGGATGTAAATCATATTGTAGACGCAATGATGTAATTGTATTTTCATTTTCTTTTTCTTTTAACTTGCATGTTTACTTTGTTCAATTTATTTCAATAACTTTTTAGTACGTCAATGTTTGTGAAAGCATTTTCACCTAGAAGGAAATGTCAATTCGCGAATTGTCTTCGATTCATTCGATCGATTCAAGGAACTGCGAAGAGAAACGCATTTTGCGTTCAACGTAGTCACTCATTTCTTTTATTGTATCATATATTTAAGCAATTGTATTTAATCATTGGTTGCGGTGTGAAATATTTTGAATTTTCTCGCCATTCGTCGAAGTGATTTGAAAAATTTCAATTTCGTCTGCTATTTAATGTGCACAGTCTCAATTACTTTAGCTTTTGAACATTCGGTTCGAACATTCTTGCATGTATATTTGAGTGTATCTGCATGTATATTAAGTTTTTTCTGAGCTTTAGCTACCGTTTACGAATATTGAAGTGTCAATTTTAAATGGAAAATCATGTCAGCATATTTGATCCGAATATGCAATTCGAGAATGATATATTTGCCAGTCTGAATTTTCCATCTGGTGTGATGTCATTCGTTTCACACAATTTGCACCGGTATCGAGTGTGACAGCAACATTTGCATCTTCATAGAGTTGATTTGTTTGAGTCTTACATCTACACAGAGAGAAAAAACCCAACAAATTTCTCTCTCTCTTTCTTTCATTCTAAACATATTAAATCAGTATTCATTTCGAACAGACTACAAACTATGCAATATGCGACGAGCCTATCTAATGATACATCGACCGGCTTTTTGAAAATTGTCTCGATGTTGTTTTGTGTTCATCTTCATTTTTTTTATCTTGGTCTGTTTTTTTTGCATCGTCATAGTTTGATTTCATTTCTTTTCTGTTTGCTTCCCTTGTTGACTCATTTACTGTCTCAAACCAATTGACGACGACGACGACGACGACGAAAGTAAGAGTTTAAAAAAAACGTGACGTGACGCAATACAAATTCATTTTTCAAAACGCAATAAATGTCAATTGGTGTTGTCGACACAAAATGGTATGAGCCAAAATAAAAAGTAAAAACACTGGTGTCAATTTCCGTGCGCCTTTAGGTAATTATTATCAATTGTGTTAGTTATTGATGGGCGTTTCAACTTCAAAGAACAACTGAATAGCAAACAAATGATTAGAAACGAAAAATGCTAAACATCTAATGATTAAACATCAATTACTTTGTACTATTTACGGTCTGCCTTTGTGCAAATATTGATCAGCACCGCAGCACAAACAAAGAAAAAAACCACCTCATAAATATGCGCTTGTGAATGACATGAAACCATGAAATGGTATTGTCGGATCCATGGGCTTGCAAATAACAAGCGCAAATATTTTGAAATGATTTTGTCATATATGAAGAATGAGGTAATCTCACCGACATGCTGTGAAAGGAATTCTGAATCAATTCAGAGGAGGGTACTTTGATGTCAACCTTCGTTGTTGGTATTTTTTTCTCCTTCAATTTGTTGTGCTAACTTTAAATTCACACATCGGATATCATGTGAACGTAATTGAAATAAATTTCAAACGAAGTGTCAAAGACATTCGTCCACAGTGACTTCAAACATTTCGCTGAACCATAAATGAAAATTCGATTGGGGTATTCGTTTCACAAAAACAAAACAAAAAACCATTAAACAGTCACTTTATTAGTCATTTAATTATTCTATCGAATTATGATAGTTTTAATGTTAATCTGGAGAGACCGAAACGAGGCGGCACACATTTGCATTTTAAACGAGCAATTCAAAATACCAGACTCTCGTTCGTTTGTTTTTTTCCAACAAAGCAAACGCAACGCGCAAATAAAAAAAAACATATCAGCACACTAGCGCTTTGTTTGCGTTTTTTTTTTCTTCTTCAAACATGCAGTTTGCATCTAGCATCTATTTTTAGTGGATATTTGAAAATATATTCGTTTGAACTGTAGTTTGGTTCATGGTGACGATAACACTATTTTGCGCGCTCTCTATATACAATCGGTTTCATTTTTGGTGCGTGTTTTGTTACAATTAAGAGGAAGTTAATGGAGTACTCAAGAGAATTGTACGCGTTTGAAAACGACGGTGGCCCATCCGCCTTTAAAATAAAACATATTTTTGTTATATCAATAAAACACAATAGCTGAAATATACTAAATCGAATCAATTCTCTTTCCGATATCAATTTTGGTGCGAACGACCGCTCTTAAGACGGTATATGCATATCAAAAAATAAATAAATGTGTATAAGATATACGCACCGTAATAACGAGCGATTTCATTAAGATGTTGTTGTTGTTGTATGTTTCGGCATATCGGTATTGTATTCGCCACGTTGTGATTGTGTAGAAACAAGCTTGCCCACGCAATAAAAGTGTCTATTTTACATTGTACATTTTTCAGTTTGTCTTCTAAATGGGCAAAGTGTTACGTTTCCTCTTTTGTTGTTAACTTTTTCTTTTCTTCACCATTGATCCAAAGAAACAGATAATCCAAGCTTCTTGTTTTATTCTTCAATTTCATTTATTCCAACGATATTTTTTGACAATTGACACGCTAGAATTTGTCACATTTCACAATTTTAATGCTCGCCAAATTCGTTGAAAATCTTTGTTAAAATTACAACATGAATATATACGTGGGAATAATTCATAAAGAAATTGGCTTAAATACGCGAAGAATGAAGAAATAGAAAAAAAAGTCGAAATTTAAGAGACAAACAACATTCAGTAGCTGCCATAGTTTGGGCAACCATTCAAAAAGTCGGCTTAATCAGTGTCCTCGCTTCAATTAATCTAATTATACATGTATTGAAATATCGATTCACACCGAGAGTCTCGATCTCTTTCTATCTGCTCCATGTATCGTTTGACACAATTTCAGTCGCAAATCAACGCCCGAATATTAGCTTACAATTTGAACAAAACGAAATTGCCTCAATTTGTTTGCATTCACCATAAAGCCAATGGTGGCAACGACGCATATTTTTCTCCCTCTCGACGAAGCGTCAAAAGCGCGCGATAGCAAAACAAGCATTCAATGAAATGAACACTCTGGCTTTCATCTCTCTCGGTAATATTAATGATGTCTGTGGTCCAATTTGACATGTATATACATTAGATTGATATTATTATTTTTTTTCTCTCATTTTTCACATGGCACTTCTGGGTGCCATTTAACCATACTAATAATAATAGGCAAAACTTCGTTCAACGGAGGGTCATTAAAATTTTGTAATTTGCTTTTTATTAGTCATTTAAAATTAATACGCAAAATCAATACGCAGTTTGTATGAATGTTTCAATTTTAAAATACATGTATGGCAGAAAGGTCCGATGTGATCGTGATCAGTGATGATGCACATATTTAACAAACTCTCTCAAGAATAATGCTGAACGATACGGTTTCTATGATCACAAGCGATCGTGTAGGATGTTGACTTTGGTTGTGACAGCTGCCACCAACAATCGCACCGAGAGAGTTAATCCAATAAAAAATTGCATTTTGACCGCTAATGAAGATATAGCAAAGACAAACAAGAAAGAAAAACGACACATATCGGCATATATGCTTACGAATTTATGTACAGTGTTACGTTTAGCGCAATGACGCCGAAGGAGATGAGAGAAAAAGAAGATGATGAAGTATTGTATAAGTAGATATTAAAAAGTATGACCCAATTCTACTTGAACAATGAAACCAAATCGACGGCAATATGCAAACACCACCGACAGCGAACGTAAAATTAAAAATGAAGTTGAAAAATTGTCATCGCCTTTGCATAAAATGTTTGTTTGATGCGCGACATCATTTAAATAGGTTTTGACATCATCGCCCGTATTTATTCTTTATGTGCGTAATACTATGTATCTAGGAAGCGAATTGAAAGGCGTTTAAAAAAACATGATCACACTCAGATCTGTCTCCTTCTTTAATTTCATTACAATTCACATGTTTTGTATTTAACATTGAATTTTTGGTTTTCATTTCTGGCACTGTAAAAATGCATTGCATCATTTTCAATCGAACGTATCGTTGTGGTTGTCATCGTAGGTTGCTGTAGCACCGGTTCACTTGCCACAGGCTTAATCAATTAGAAAACATAACTGGGATTTTGTCAACATCGCCGATTCGAATGAGCCAAAAAACTTTATCGCATTAAACAAAATATGTCGTATAATTCGAATGTAGATGTTGAATATCATGTGCGAAACACGACCATTGCATATGCAAATACCGTCAAACATCGATAATTCAATTGATAATATTATTTAATACAGTTTAAATACGAAACATGTTTATTACCCGCCGTAACAATTATTTTAAACAAAACCAAAGCGAATGTAATTAAACATTTGAATGGAAGATTCGATCACATTTGAATCGCAGCCAATTTAATAGCTTTTTTATCGATTCATCGATGCTGAACGAATTTTAATGATCGTTTGCAATACATTGGCGCGTACTTAGCGTATGCATTGATGTTTTTCACCCAAAATATGTTTTTTTCGCCAGATCAATCGTTGTATTTATCGCATTTTCATGACTTTTATCAAAACCATTTATTTTTATTATGCAAATGAGTCGAAGCACTGCGAATCATGTTACTTCATTTTTATTTAACTGACTATTATTAAACTGACTGTATTTGTTTACGTTTTTCGGAAACTTTATTTTGATTTTAATTTTGGTGTGCTTATTTTATCGTCTGGTTTTTAGGTCATCACACAGTTCGTTGTTTTTTTTTTAACGCGCAAATTTGAATATTAATAGATAATTCAATATGGAAATGATATGGCTTCACGGTACAATTATAACAACAGGGAATCACATTCGACGAACCAGATTTTATTGTGCGATGGGTTCATTGATTTATCTACCGGTCACAAAAATTATTGAATGAAAGTTCTGGTGATTTGTGGTGATTCAATGTGAAATTATATTAAAAATATGGTGTGTAATAACTTCATTTTAAATTCATTGCGCATATAAAGTTGCTTCTCAGAAATGTTCCAATGATTTTTCGGAATATTTTCGCGAATTTTGACATTTTGATCAGAATTCCATGCATGGAATTTCATTAGCACACTTCTGTGGATTTCTTCAATGGTAAAACCATTACGTGGTCGCAAATTCGATTTCGCCGAACCAAAAAAGAAGAAGCGTCTCAATGAAACCGGTTGAAAAGGTACACACTTGTTGTCCAACTTGCTTTTTTTTTTCAATTGTATAAAAAGTGGCAATATTTTGTGTTTGAAATCGGTTTGTTGTTTGTATTATCTTCGATTGTAGGAAATTCCAATGAAATGCAAACAAATCAAAAGTGTGTGCACTATTCGATACATAGTATCCGCATTGTGTTGACGTGTCTGAATGTGGTTCTAGTTTGGTAAGCATAATTGTAGAATTTTCAAACTTGCAAACAAAAAAAAACTGGATTCTTGCAATTGCATTACATATGATTGAGAGATGCGCATAAATGTGAATTCCATGTCAATGAAGACGGAAAAAAAAATAAATGCATAAAATATTGAAAGAATTTTCGAAAATCATTTTTAATCGCATCGCAACTGTATAATTGACAACTTTGGTTGGAAAATGAAGAAGCAAATCATAGAGATAAAGAGGGAGAGACGAATTAAAAACAAAATGCACCGTCGGGTCACACCAATTGCACATTTAATTTACACGCGTACCACAGACATAATCGCATTTAATTCAATTTAAATCTCATCACCAAGTGTGTTAATTCGTTTCACATTTGTGCGGGCTCGCGGTTGAGAAATGAATAAGAAGAAGAAGAAAAAAATACGCAAACAATAGCATCTATGCTTGCCGTTTTTTTCCTTCGCTTAATAAATTGTGACCAATGTAAATACAGCAGTATTTACACAATGTAAATCACAAAATCAACATGCACAACTTGATGAAGCCCATTTAACCAACATAGAGATAGACAGAGAGACACAGAGAGACAAAGAGAGTGTTTGCATTGTAAAATGTAATCCTTTCGTGGCATTCCAATTAATCGAAATACTTTCTTATGGTATTTATTAAACGCGATAAGATATGTAATACGCGTCGTCATCTCTGTCGTCGTCGGTCGCATTATTAGGCGATCAATTTACGTGCGTACAATCTATGAGCGTAGAATGCAACGAGAAATTAATTTATTGATTAAAAGCAAACCAACACGCGGTATTACAAAAATACCGAACGTTTGAGCGCACACTCACTTGCACATACGGATGCTGTGCTCTGAAACACGACGCGCTTCACACATTCCAAATAAATGTATTGTACTATTGAAGAGTGATTGAGAGAACGGTCTTCATTTTCTTTAGTATTTGTTGATCTATCTTTTGAATGCTTGCGCCTCACTTTATTCTAGTATTCTTCGCTTTGTCCAATTGCTTGTTCACATTTTATAAATAACTTAACTAGCCTCAACTCTTAATTGGTTTGCATGATACCATTTGTTATTTCTGCTGATAATTCCATTGAGTCGCTTGCGTTTGATCCACCTTATTATAGTTGTCGTAGTTATCTTATCACATTTTTTCTCTCTAAATTTAAGACACATACACACACATATATACTCACGAGTGATTTTCTGATGGAAATTCAATTGATAAGAGATCTAATGCGTTTCATTTCTTTCTTTTTATTCGATACATATAGGTGGTCAGTTGAAAACAAAGAACGGCCAAAAATACATAATCAACAATCATCATCACCATCGCGATGGATTTTATGTCACAAAACGGCACGCGATTCTTATTGCTGCCCTCATTCTCATCGTTATGTTGGCCTATACTGTGTTAATTTACTTTTTATTTGCAAAAGGGTAAGTACTATGGAAAAAAACTTAAAATAGGTGGTTCAGTAACAATTCGACATTAAAGTCCGCGAATCGTCCGGAAATGGGTGTAATAATTACACAAAATAAAAAAAGAAAAAACATAGTTTTTTTGACAGTCTAAATTTTGGATTTATACAGTACATCTAAAAAATGTATATTTCATCTAAAATGTGTAGTTTAACAAATAATTTCAATATATGAAAATGTAAATCGGTGAAACTATCAATCGAGTTTTCTCACTTTTCCTATGGAAAAATCGAGAAAAAAACGATGATTTCTCAACTTCCAGAATACTTGCTATCAAATCCAATCTACTTGCTCTACAAAATTCACTTCCAGCTCAAGTCATCTCGCTTCATCTCAAATAAAGTAAATGGACACCATTTAAAAAAATCCTTTTTGGTTTATCCCAATTTCATAAAAATAAAAGCATAGGAATTATGTATGTAATGTCCATGCTTGGGTCTCATATAATTTAAAGTGTATTGAAAATCGAATTTCACACGAAAATTGTACATAATTATTACACCCATTTCCGGACGATTCACGGACTTAACTGTCAAATTGTTACTGTACCAAAATAGGAAATGATGAAAAAGAAAATACCAAGAAATTATATTGCAAACAATTAAAAAAAAAAACAGTTTAAAATATTAAAAAAAAACATTTGCCGCAAATTATGTCATTAAAAAAGAAGTAATTAAAATGTTCGTCATTTTTTTCTGTTAATTTTTAGGGCGACAAGTGCGACTGTTACACCAAGTGCGACTAGTGCGCTAAGTACGACTAATGCGACAAATGCGCCAATAATGGTGTCTAGTGAGATTGTGGCCGAAACGGAAAAACCGATTCCCGAACATATGCTTCTTCCAACTCCGAGTGGGATTGATCCGACTCCAAGGCCAAGAGCGATAAAATTAAATGAAGGTTGGAGCCCAACACTCTATAGGTGAGTTAAATTTAATGTTTACACTTTAAACGCAACACATGCAAACGGTTACTTCATGTTCGAGAGAAATGTATTTGAAGCAAATCGTCAAAATTGAATAAACAATATTCGGTTTTGTCTTGTAGGTAGCGCTATTCTTAGAATAAGTTTCTGTGCAAAATCGAAATACACACGCTGTCATTATCAACCGGCGCACCAGCTGTGTGCGTACCGGCAAATTGTTTGGAATTTTTTTGTTTCTCTTCTGGTCCAAAACAGCTCAAGGAATAGAAGACATACAGATAAAAAATGTTTGAACACACACATACACATGTGCATCATTTTATTGAACCGTTTAGAGGCTAATAAAATTATATTTCAACTTTTTTTTTAAATCTCATTTTGATGTATTAGAATGTAAACGTTTTACTGTAATATTTTATTGATTGAAGATTGGAGCTGGTTCCAGTCATCTTGATGAAAATGCTATTAAAACTAAATGAATATTATGTTTAACTGGCGCCTTTCTACATGTCAATTTTGTAATGATGATTATTGCTTTTATTTTTTCATTTTATTGACTCGATTCTTGAGATCATTTGCCATTGGTGCAATCACTTTATATTTTCGAATAATAAAAAGTGTTAACGATTACACCATCTCATTTCATATTTATATAATTTTTTTTAAATTCTAAAAAATTCTTATGTCTAACGGATTCTGACAATTCGAATGAAACGATCCATTGTTGTTGTTTTGCGCGATATTTGCCGCGTTGAATCTTTTCACACAGTGCCAGCACACGCGGCTTAGATTCCGCGTTATTTAGTAGCGCTTTTTGTTTTTATTTCGAGCACAAGCAAAATTATGCATACATAAATTTTATACAGCATTCACAATCACCCGTGGCGCATATTGTTTTGAGACACTTTTCGAAATGTGTTTTCGTTCCAACGTTTTATTAAAAATAACTAACCGCATTTTTATTTTATTTTGCACTTCTTTCGCTCAGTCGTTCGGTGTATTTGTTTGCTAATTTTATGCATATACAAATAAAAAAAAAACAGAAATGAATAGTTTTGTGGCCAACCAGCCAGACCAAGGGCAATAAAGTTCTTTGAAGAAGAAGAAAACATGTTTTGACTGTGCATTAACAGAAGGAGTGATTTGCCAATGGGAAAGATTGAAATCATTTGGTCCGTTGGATCACTGATATATGAAATAATGTAACCGACAAATAATGGTTCGGCCCTCATTTTATTTCTTGAATCGTCTTTCCATCGATTCGATTCCATAAAAATGCGTTGGAGACTCATTGTTTGCCGCACATTCATTTTGTTTAAACAACGATACTGTTTATGCAATAAATTTCATTATCCGATCAAGCTGACAATGTGTTCTACATCTACATATATATTGTTTTCTCAATGTGGCTCTCTGTCTCTATTTCTCCGTATACAATGAACGCTTGAACATTTTTTTTTTTTGTATACACACGTGCATCGTGCATCGACCAAATCAAATTGGAATCCAACATTTCTTCGTCGCTCCGGTATTTCGTCATTCGTACGCATGGTATTATTTATGAATTGGAATTGTGAAAAAATGCGATTTTCATCGCACTTCGACTCAAACTGAATCTGTTTGGATCGAACTCATTCCCAAATCGAAGGCACACACATATACACTTCATAATATTGAAATATTGCTACAAACAAAATGCTTCTATAATCATCGATTGAATGGATTCAACGTGTTTCAAGTGAGATTATAGGCTATATCAATGGTTCATTCGGTACAAAATGAAAATGAAAGAAAGAAAGAAGCGAATTAGATACAGAAATTGATATTGAATGTAAACACGTTTCGGCCGTTCGAAATTGTGGCAAGTGATCACTTGACGATAGCAACAATACAAATTGAGCGAGAGAAAAAAAAGAACTATTTTTAAATTGCACTAAGAACGATGTAAATAAAATATAAAACTGACTTTAAAATGTGCTCGGACAGAAAAAAAACACATCCATTATCTGGAAATAGAAACTATTCTACTTGCTTAATATAGTTCTAAATTTGAATGGCACTGGCATTCAACGATCGAATTGATTGCAACTTTGGATGACGAAAAGTCATCGGAATGTTCGGTATTTTGCAAAAAGTGGTTAAGATTTAAGAGCAATCGTGCTTAGTTAACTTATTAATGGAAATTTGCATATTTCTATATTACAGATTGATTATACAGCCAGATATTAAAAATGGCACTAGCTTTGGCCATGTTATAATCGACATCACGAAAGACGCCAGTGCAACCAATTGGCCACCGATCGTTTTAGATATTGATAATATTACGATTACTAAAGTTGAAGGTGAGTTTATTTGATTTATTCATATTGTCTTTATTTTAAGTTAATAAACGTGAGTGACATCATCAGTAGAAGACAATTTTTAGCCATAGCTCACCTAATCTGACAATTTAAGTAAATTATGTAAATTCCATTTCTAGTGGCTGAAAGCAGTGAAAATCTAACTCGATTTCTTGATATTGCTGCTGATTATGGCGAAAACAATGACACATATGTCATCAACTTAGTGGAGTCACCGAATAACGCGTCACTTCAATTGAATATAAAATTTATCAGTCAGTTATCAACCACGTTACAGGGATTCTATCGTGTTGGCTACAATGATATTGACACCACCGAGCAAAAGTAAGCAATTCATTTCACATTTTATGTTCCGCAAAAATGTGTAAAACACAATGTAAATTCGTTTGTGGTTTTGTGTGCATTTAATTGGGTGACTAATTTGGATTTTCCGTGTATGATTTATAATTTAAGCAAGTAGAATGTATGCAAATGGGCAAAGTCAAATGATTTATTGCCTTTCATTTTTAATATATGATTCATTTGTTTTTTTCATTTCGTGTGTATTGTGCAATTTGTTTGTTTCTTTTTAGATGGTTGGTTAGCACGCAATTCTCTCCGATTGACGCGCGGCGTGCGTTCCCCTGTTTTGATCGTCCTGATAAGAAAGCCCAATTTGAGATAAGCTTGATTCATCATGAAAACCTAACGATGGCATTATCCAATATGCCCAGCAAATTAGTAACGTAATATGACCTAATTTTTTGTTTCATTCACAAAACGAAAATCAAATGACTAAAATTTTGAAGAAAAAAAAAATGTATTTTTCCAGGCGGCTACCATCTTCGGATTATATTCGAGAAGATTTCGATATCACACCTTTGATGTCCACATATTTGGTTGCATTCATGGCCACCAATCTGGTCAATGCAACTCAAACAGCAAAACGAAACGAATCGCTGCCACAAATCAACATTTGGACGCGCAAAGAAGTTGGCGAGATGACAGAGTACGCTTGGAATTTCATATAGTCATAAAAATTAATTATTTTTGTTTCGATAAATGAATAACATCATCAATTCTAATCAATTTAAGGTTTGCATTTGACTTGACAACCCGAATTTTGCCATTTTACGAAGAATACTTTGGCATTCGATACAATTTGCCAAAAATCGACATGGTTGCTGTGCCCGAGTTTGGCTTTTCAGCAATGGAGAACTATGGTTTATTGACATTCAAGTGAGTCAAGATCTATGTACTTTATGAGTAATTTATATTCTATCGAGATCAACATTTTTTTTAATTGTTTTAATTTATTCAACCATAAAATAGCAAATTTAATTGCACGCAAGCGATAAAACCAAAACCAAAAAATGTGCGCGAAATGCCAAAGTCAATTCGATTTTCGAACTTCATCATAGGCATGCACAATTTCAATGTATATAATTGTGTTGTGGTGATGAGCCCTCATTGTATTGGCGCACTTACGAATGTGACATCTTTTCATCAGGATTATGATTATTATTAAGCCATTTGACAATCATAATTAAGTCTATGATTTGTCTCTCTCATCCGTAGCATCTATTGTGTGTGTGTGTGAACCATATTTGCGTATGAGATGTATATCTTTCCAATTGATATCATTAAATTGAAATCACAATGGTTTTGGGAGGGCGAACATGATTAGAGCGCCCACATGAAATCGTAAAATATTTTATTAGCGTATTTTATGTCACACATTGATAAAAATGTGTAACTAGAAAACACACACACGCACATTTTTTTTTTTTAAACAAGATCATATAAAATGTGACACGCTACTTCGTCAAGTATAAATTATAACTGTGAATTCAATTGAATTAAATGTGCGTCGATGAAATTTCAATTTAAGTTTGGGTCATATTATAAAACGAACGATTTAATTCAAGTCACAAAAATGACCACCATTCATAGTTGACACGACTTTCCAGGCCACAAAGGAATATAAGATGACAGTAATAATGGCCGAAACAGCTAATGAAGCAATTGATTTCATTGATTTTGACATGAATGGTGATCATTATAATAACGGTTGAAATATTTTGATTGTGATTTCGAGAGATAATTAAATGTTAATTTGTGTTGCAGAGAATCGGCTTTGCTGGTACCGAGGGATCCTGAGCATCGTTCAGCCGAACATAGTGAGGATGTGGCAAATATCATTGCACATGAATTGGCCCATCAATGGTTTGGAAATCTGGTCACAATGAAATGGTGGGATGATTTGTGGCTGAAAGAGGGCTTCGCAACATTTATGAGCTACATAGTGATCCAAGAAGTGAGTATTACATTTGAATCATGTGCACACATGCATATAATTAATTTTTTTTTTTTAATTTTTGCTCATTAGATCGAACCGACATGGCAATCTTTGGAATTTATGTCAGTAAACGAACTTCAAAAGGCAATGGAAGAGGATTCAGACTTGAGTTCGCATCCAATTTCATTCGATGTTAAAAATTCGGCCGATATTCGTCGTATATTTGATCCGATTTCATACTCAAAAGGTGCATCAATAATCCGTATGATGCAAAGCTTTTTAGGCGAAAAGACATTTAAGGAAGCATTACGTAAATATCTAAAAGACTTTCAATCGAAGAATGCGAATCGTGGTGATTTGTGGAAGATAATGACTGAATTCGGTCATCGAGATAAAACACTTCCAGCCGATCTGACTGTCGAAGAAATTATGGATAATTGGACAAAACAAGCTGGATATCCAGTTTTAAATGTCAAGCGAGATGGTACATCAATTTATATCTCACAACAACGTTTTCTATTACCAAATGGTACACCAAACAATGACATACACATACAAACTTGGCATATTCCAATAACATTTACTATCGGATCCAATAAAACCGAAGACACCTTACCGAAATATTGGCTTAAAAAAACTGATGACAAAATCACCGATGTGATTGGCACTGATCATTATTTCTATATGAATATTGGTCGTTCTGGTTACTATCGTGTTAATTATGACTATAAATCATGGGCTGCGTTGGGATCGAATTATAAGGAGCTTCCCGATATTATAAAAGCACAATTAATCGACGATTCATTGAATTTGGCACGCGCTGAAATTATTAGTTACGATATTCCCTTGACATTCCTTTTTAAATTAAATCAAGGCGGTGTACTTCCATGGGCAGCTTCAACATCGGGCATTAAATTTATTTCGAACATGTTGAGCCGTGAACCGGCTTATGAATATTTTCGAGTAAGTTTGGCTTATGATTGGTCTGACTGAAGAGCAGCCAAATAACGTGATTTTATTTAATTTCAGGCACTCATGCGTTTCATTTTGAAAGATATTTACAATGATATGGGCTTTGAAGAGCATCCATATGAATCGCACGTGGAACTATTGCATCGAGCTGTAATTGTTCATCATGCATGTTTCTTTAGTCATGCCTGGTGTATCAATAGTGCACAGCTTATTTATCGAAAATGGATGGGGGACAAGACCAACAATTTGTACGTTCATTCAATTTGAGTATGTCAATTATATGTTTTTATCACATTTTTTTGTTTCACATAAATTTCAGGATTAGTCCAAATTTGAAAAGTATCGTATATTGTACAGCATTGCGTGAAGGATCTTTCCAGGAATGGTACTTTGCATTGCGCAGGTACAAAGAAACAACGGACGCATCCGAAAAAGAGATTATCTTAGATGCACTCGGTTGCACAACAAAAACATGGCTTTTATCAAAGTAAGTGCCAATATTTCCATTGATAGTCGGCACACATTTTATTTGAAACAATTTGTAAATTGGTGTTTTCATTTTATTTCGTGTAGATACTTGAATATGACAATTACCGCGGATTCGGGTATTCGAAAGCAGGATGGTCGCCGGGCGTTCATAGCTGTTGCCCAAAATAGTTTCGGTTTCGAAACTGCGTTCGATTTTTTGATGACAAACATTAAAGAGATTAGTGAATATTTCGGCGATGGTTTCTTAACCCTATCAAGAATGATCAATTCGATCACCGATTTCATGAACAAAGACTATCATCTCGAACAACTGAAGCAATTCAAAGCGAAAGCCGAGAGTCTCGGTTTAAAATCCATCAAAGAGAGTATACAATTGGCGGAGAAAAAAATTCAAAATAATGTTTATTGGCGATCACGTTCCTATCCACAATTGGAAAGGTTTTTATTATTAATGGCAAATCATTATAATATCAATTTAGAAAACTAAATGACATTAAACTTGTGGAAATTATTTGAAGAGAACGAGAGATAAACATTTCCAAAATAAGAAACAAATGAACAACTTCACTTACCAAATGTTATTTGTTCGACAGCTTCGCTTTTGGATGTTATCCGTCTATCATTATAAATGGCTTGTAGCTGGTCGACACAAATTCTATACTTATACTAAATGTAGATAAATGTGAAATTTTATCCGTGATATAAAAAAAACTACAATGTAAGGATTCATGAAAACATAAAAAAATCGCTGAGTTCATTGCCTGTATAGCGAAAGAAAAGAGATCTAATGAAATGTTTGGAATAAATGCTATTATTGAGATAATAAGAGTCACACCAGTTTGCCTTGCACGCAACTATTTTTTTTTATAAAGTGGTTACTGTATTGACTTCAATATACAAAATATTTATTTTCTTCTTTATATATGCGATAGATCCGCAACCATTTCAAATCATAAACTGCAAACATTTCCATCGCTTTCTTCCGAGACATTACGAATTTAGCACAGTTTAGTTGCGTTTTAGTAACGATCTCGACATTGAATTTTATAGAAGATATGTCAACTATCAAAATTCGTACGAACACAATAGGATGTCATGACACTTCGAAAACTATGTGATTGAAGAAAAGTTTTTTTGTTGGAGAAATGCCCGCAAATTATCATTTGATTTGGTTTTTAATCATAATAAATTAGGATTTATTGCGCCAAAATAACACATACACAACGAATTTAACATACACATTTATTATTACAAAAATAGCGCTCCATAAGCAAACAAAGAAAAAAATCAATTCATCTTTAGCCATTGAAATAAACAACGAAGTGCTGTTTTTTCTCTCCTCTTCTTTCATCAAGGCACAATTATCATTCATTAGATTAAAACCAATTTTTCGCTGGACCAAACAAATTCAACAACATTTGATTTGACATCAAATAAAACTCGCCATCTATTAATATTATGATTATTCAAAATCAATGAGAAACCCTATACCCTATTATTATTAAATTGATCAATATATATTATTGTAATTTACATTTCTCATCATTTTTCGACGCAAAAGGTTAAAATTCATTAAATTCTTCGATTCAAAAATTATTCGGTGCAGCGATATTTATATATATTTACACACAAAAAAATCAATGCACAGACACATTTTTGAAGGAATAAAAACGTGGACGCTTAATTAAAATTAAAATTTTCGAAACAAAAGAAAATACAATTCGAATATTAAAATTAACAGAATTGTATGTATTGTATAAAAGCTGGTATATTGATGTAACTGTAATAAGAATATCGAAATGTTGAAATAAATTTTGTGAGATTCTATTTAAAAATAAATAAATAAATAAAATATGAAGTAATCAATGGTTTTATCAGTTTCAAAGTGTTTAGTTGTTGTTGCCAATAAAATTTGCATGTCTTATTTACGTCAATACATAACAACCATTTCAATTCATGCAAATTGATTTTCATTGGAATTTCATTTAAATTGATTTTTATTTGTCCAACAAATGTCGTTCGATAACTGTTATCCGATGTTTTTGATTTTATCAAATGATGCTTATTTCAGAGAAACAAAATGTTAAATGGCTTTTTATCATAATTCTGCTATGTTTGGTGGTTCTAATAAAAGGTATTGTGTTTATCAGCTTTTTGATTTGTTAAACGTTTCAAGTTGGACATGGCCCTTTCATATTTACTCGGAACAATTTTTTTTGGAATAATCAATCTCTTTAAAATGTCATCACTTTCATCATCCTCATCATCATTCGGTGGTTTAGTTTCTGTCGACTTGACTACCTGAGATTGTACGTTCACGTCTTCAATTTCAAGACTATAAATCAATGACGAAAAAGTTAATTCAATTAGAAAAAAAAAAAAAAAACAGTTGAAAGAATCAATAAAATGTATGGAAATAAGATGAAAATGAAACCAATACCGTAATGGAATGTTTATCAAGGCTTTTTTGGCGATGGCATTCTCAGGATCTATTTTTAAAACTTGTGCATATAGTTTGTAAGCCATATTCTTCCGATCTGTGGCAATCAACGCATCACATTTTCGAAGAAATGCCTTAACATTTTCCGGTTCTAATTTCAAACATTCATCACAATCTCGAATTGATTCCATGTATTTTTTCTGCTTCAAATCTACAATTATATGGTAGAATTGTCTGTATTCTCTGACATAAAAAAAAATCATTTCAACAGTTAAACGTACAAACAAGTGCTCGATTGTTATAAACAGCAGCCGTTGGTTCATAGTTCAAACTAGTGTTGTATTCATTGATTGCTTGTTGATAATCCGAACACTTAAAGAATTCATTGCCTTTGATTCGATGTCTTGAAAAAAAAAATCAGCAATTCATTGTTTTGCACATTATTGGGATAAGAACCAGAATGAAAAAAATGCATTAAACTCACTTATCGGCGAATTCATGTTTTTCAACATCGCTCATTTGCTCGTGCACCGTAGTTTCTGGTAAAATTTCGATTAATTTTGGTACTTGTTGCTGTCGTTTTTGGTCCATCGACATTTTTTCTCGCATTTGCTCTTCAGCCAATTCAATCTTTAGACATTCAGTGTCTAAAGAGAAAGTGATTACATGTATGAACTTTCATTGACATTAAAGTACATTTTTTTATACCTGCATCGAATTTATCCCATCGATTATAATCGGTAGAAGTAATTCGTTTGTCTCTGCTTTTGGCAGCATCTTGAATTTCTGACACTTCAATCATGCTCCGAATTGGAGGTAATGCATCATCTAAATTGTTATCGAAATTTGATTGATCGCGTATTTTACCGTTCTTGACTTTAATACTCTGCACAAAGTCCTACAATTTGTTATGTTATGGATAAAAACAAGTCGATTTTGAAATGAATATTTTGGCTTACATTGATTTGTTGGCGTTCGTCCATGCTGGTTCGTTGACATTCCACTTCAGACCGAAGCACTCGATTATTGGGATCCAATGCTTTAAGCGTAGCTTCAGCAAATTTGGTTAAATCTGGATAATATCCTTCTTCACCCGATTTCAATATTTCAATGATCTTCTCCAACTCGGAAATGTTTTGACATTTACTTAGATAATCAAAATCCAAGTTTTCTATTGGTATCGAATATTTTTCCAGCAACGATTTTTTTTCATTCATTTTTTATTATATGACTTTTTGAATACTTGATAAATAAAAATAGTGAATGGTCATTCGAACAAAAAAAATGCCATCGGTGTAAACAAGATTACGTTCAAATTATTTATCATGAAGAAAAGAAAAAAACAAAAGAATACATAAATGTTATTGACAAACGTTACCATGCCACACATTCAATAAAGTTCAAAATCACCTAGTAACCGTCATGCATTTGTTATCGTATGCAACGTAATGTGCACAAAAAAGGGTGTCGAAATATACAAAAAGCTCAAAAACAATTTTTTATTGAATTGAGATTTTTCGAAAAAAATGGACATACGTCAAGTCATTATACTGTTTTTTTCTTTCTTTTTTCAAAAAAAAAAATGACCTGATCATACTTTGTATGCAAATCATGGTAAATGCACTTGATATTTTAAAAAAAATTGTTTTTCTTCTCGCAATGGTTGAATCGGTTAAGAATATTGACACTTATCACAAGTTATAATTATTGTTATTGGCAAATCATGTGCCCGGTACGATAACGGGATATATGTTGTGTAATGTAAACAAAAATTGCCGGCAATCTTTGTTTATAATTGGCTGAAAAAAATGCATTGTTATTCATTTAAACCAGCAAAAAAATCGTTGCAAATAGATAGTGCAAAAATGAACAAGTATATAAGGTATGGTGAATGCATTGAATCTTCAGTTAGACACTGTTTGTGCAACAAGCATTTCGAAAATGGCATTCAAATACAACGAGAAAGACATTAAATTCACCCGTCATTTCATCGATGGCGAGTTTCGCGATTCAAAATCCGGCAAATACTATGAACTCTACGATTTGTTGAATAATAAAACGTTGGTCAAAGTAACGGAAGGTGATAGAGACGATGTTGAGCTTGCAGTTAACGCTGCTGTTCATGCATTTGAGTACGGAACACAATGGCGTAAAATGGAGTATGCTGAACGAGGACGATTTTTATATAAATTGGCCGATTTATTGGAACGCGACATTGACTATTTAGTTTGGTTGGAAATAATAAATTCGGGAAAAACTTTAGAAGACACCAAATTCGATTTAAGGCGCAGCATTGACTTTTTGCGCTATTATTCCGGATACACTGACAAGCTATGGAGCCGCATCGATCGTGACAAGGTACAGTATATAATTTAATCTAATGTCAATCCATTGGCATTGTGAGTAACGATGAAAACTAAACAGATTATTTTATTTCTTCTTCAAGGATGATTACTTTGAGTTTAGCTCAAAAGAGCCGGTTGGTGTAATCGGGCTAATAAGTGACCACATTGACCCATTATGGACATTCATTCGTCAAATTGCACCGGTTTTGACCGCAGGAAACACTGTTGTGTACAAGCCATCGTATAAAACACCATTAACCTCGCTTTACATTGCTCAATTAACAAATGAGGTTGGGTTCCCCAAAGGCGTAATCAATATTGTATTAGGAAAAGGATCGGTTGTTGGTGAAGCTCTTGGATTGAATGAATATATTAAACACATTACATTCACTGGTCGCCGTGAAATTGGAAAGTTCTTCTACGAATATGCACGCTCGAATTTCAAAACTCTTAAGTTCTACTTCACCGAGCCAAGTCCGTTGTTTGTATTAGAAGATACTGATATTGATGATGCCGCATTGATCGCACATCATGCTGCCTTCTTCAAAGATGGCAAAACTCGTTATCGACCCGTTCGCATTTTCGTTCATGACGACATTTATAATAATTTCGTAAAGCGTAGCGTGGAATTGGCACAAAAACGTAAACTTGGTGACATTTTGGACAAGGATGTTAGAGTTGGTTCATTTATAAATGAGAAATACCATAAGAATTTCTTGGACTATGTAGATCATGCTAAAAAAGATGGAGCGAAATTGGAATATGGTGGAAAGCGCTACGGAACATCCGGATGGATCGTTGAACCGACCATTTTCTCTGATGTCAAAGATGAATACCAATTTCTTACCGATTACGATGTTTATGGACCAATCGAACTCATAACACGCTTCAAGAAATTTGAAGACATTCCGGATTTCTTGCGAAAATTGCACTATGATCATACAATTGGCATAATTTCAAGAAACTTCAACCGATTTAAGGAACTTGTGCGTCATCTTAATATTAATCTATTTTGGTTTAATACATGGCATGATTTTAAGCCATATTTGAAATATCAGGAACGTAAACAACAAGATTTTGGTGGATATTTTGATGAAGAATACTTTGATCGTGATGTCATCGAATATTACTTGAAGAAGAAAACCATTGATGGGCTATGGGAAACAAGAAAATATGATACTTATATCTGGTAAAATGAAAAAAATTGGTCAACACCTGAATCTATATGAACGAATCGATATTGACATTTAAATTGAATAAAAGCATTTGTTAAAACCCACGTCAACGTATTTTATTTTATTTGACAAACATGCCAATTCAACTGATTCATTTAAACTTGAAATAAAAAACTTTTACAAAACAGTATTTGATTTGTTTTCTTTTTTCTTTTACAAACTTATTCTTCGCCTACACAGAAACACTTCGAAAGTACCCACCGATACAAAAATCGCGGCATCAGGAGGTGTAGGGCCTCACAATTGCCTCACTTAATGAAATTCATTCTCAAGTTTTTAAGCGATAAAATACGTTATAACATTTTTGTTTTACATTTTTTTTAAGTAAAGAAGCAATATTATCCATTCTTTTGGCTATCAATCTATCTCACATTGAGTGTAACGCACTCAGTGTATTTTGATATCCTGATGGCGAACTATCATACACATTTCATAATCTCAAATGGTGATAATCGGAAAAATAATCATATGGAATCGATAGGAACGGATAATATTGAAAAATGAAAATAAATAATTTTTCTACCAGAAAGTGGATTTCTTTCCGTCTTTTTATAAATTAAATTTGATTTCCCATATTATTATTAAATAGTAAAATAAAGCATACCAATTTGTGAAAATGAGATTGATAATTGAAATACCACATTTGAAAAGTTGGAAAAGTTATTTATTGTGTTGTTTTTAAGCTCAATGAGTGCCATCTATTCATTGTATACCACACTTTTCAATTGAGTTCTTTGTAGGTGCTATTTATCTCTGCCCATAAGTTCGTCGTTTTTTTTTCACACAAATAAGAATTAAACATTGTTGAACAAGCCTTAAATTTGTTGAAGTACGTAAATTATTTATTGCGTTTTATTTCAATTCTTGCTTATCAACTAATGATTTCATTTACCTAATAAAATTGAATAGTAATTAATTATCAAACACATTGGTCCCATTATCAAAACAATTCAATGTGCCATATCATCATATATCAATTTTTTGTGGATTATGAAGTCCAACCAGGTTCTTTACCGAATTATTTTATCATGATAAGAAAGGGGGATTCCTCAACAAAACATAAAACGGCGTATACGTTACATATAAAAGCGGGTATATGGCATGTACTTCAGTCATTCAAAAATAGCAACGAAAAAAACTATTTGAAAAGATGAAAAAGTTCTTGATTTTAACCATTTGTGCGCTAGCGATCTTCGGTAAGTCCTTTGAATTGAAGTACATTTTCTACCAACATTACAATTTACAAATAAATATCAATTTCAAAAATATTTCGAAAAAGAATGAGTTACGTTATTCCATTTCAGCTATTGATGCATACGAATTCGATTCAAATGAGAATTTCATCGAAGACCCAAAAGTTGAACAGTCGCCTGAAACAGATTGGAAAGGGATATTTTCACCACAATGCAAAATATGTGAAGAAGTGATGAGAAAAGTTCGAAAAGAAATTGGACGTGAATCATCAAGGGTGAATAACAAATATGCGGATAAAAAATCAAATGAAAAACTAAACAATTGTTGAATACTTTTTAATCCATTAGGAACATATAAAACATGTATTGAAAAAGATGTGTTCCATCGTTCCCCACAAACGTTTCAGACAAAAATGCTCTGCACGTGTCGATAAGGATGGTGATCGAATCGTGGATATGTTTCAAAAAGAGCAATCGGGCAAGGTAATCTGCATCGCAATGGGTTTCTGTGGTGCTTACATGGATGAAACCTCTGAAGAATACGATTCTTCATCAAATATTGAACTCTTCTCCATTCAATGTCTTCTTTGTGAAAAAGTTATGCAGAAAGTCAAGAAAGAAATTGGACGCGAATCATCAAGAGTAAGATGAAAAAAAACATACATCAAAGCTCCATTTTTTCATTTTCTCTTTTAAACAAGGATCACATCAAGGATGTACTCAAAAAAGCATGTTCTGTCGTTCCTGACAAACGCTTCAGACGAAAATGTGTAGAACGAATTGAGGATGATCACATTGTAGACATGTTAATTAATGATGCAACTACAAAGGCCATTTGCGTTTATTTTGGATTTTGTTGAATACCCGTTGATGATCCACTCTGGTCTTGAATTTCTTTTTTGTACTCATATTTTACATTTAATTAAAACCTAGAAATATGAAAATTGATCCATCTATAATTTTTTTTGTTTTTCTCCCAAAAAAAGTCTTTTGCACATATTTACAGTCATTCAATTAAAAAATAAAATGCCATTGGTGAAATTATGAGTACACAGTCTGAAAACTGAATGAAAAAATAAAAAAATAGAATAAAACACCAATTATATTGTTTCGACATTAAATATAATGTATTTGCTTAATTGCATTGAAGAATTTATAATGTGTAACGTTTGAAACAATTCCATTTTGTAAATCTAAATGAAAGCGAATAGTATCTTGCATTTCTTTAAAACTGAAATTGTTGTTTGAATGAAATGAATTGGTATATATATATTTATATGTATATTTTTTTTGTTTATGTTCTCTGTTGAATAAAACGGTGCGAAATGCAATGTCGTGCACTTCGCGCCACGTTTTAATTCATCATTTTTTGTAACGAATAAACATTGGTGTTTGCATTACAGTGTGGATAAAATATTTAAAAATTAAAAAGGTAAATAGTTCGAGAAGCGCTTATTGAACTACAACACTTCCAGTCAAAATGATTTCCTAGCTTTGTTTGTTCAAATTTATTCAATTCGTTCGCCGTTACATTTTGCATAAAATTTCTACTTAACCACATTCAAGTTAACTAAATAGGTATCACGTGCAAAACAAAATTTACAATTCATTTCTTTTTCTCTTACGATCCTAATGGTTTGTGAGAAATGTTGCTAAAAAATCAAGCAGAAAGAACCAAAAATATTTATAATAAAATAAAAATAGATTACTGGGAGAGGAACATGTACATTAAGTTTCCAATTTTTGTTTTTAAATAATTCAGAGCAAGTGTAAAATTCGCATTATTTGCGATCGCTTGCATGATTCGTTGTTCATTGGTCCATTACAACATGAGCTATGAGTATTTTGTCACTGATTTTATTTTAATTTGAATTGTAACGCTTACGCGCTCGTGGTGTCCAATCATAGAGCGCATGCGTACAATGATTTAGTGTGAAAAACAAAAACAAAATTTAAAATAAAACTCAATCCAAAAAAAGATGTAAAATTTGAATGTGGATCGAGAGAAATGGGTACGTCTGACAATTTCGCACTGATGTAATGAATCAAAAAAAAAAAATAAAACTTAAATAAATACAATGCTAGCGCTTCTTTGTTTATAATATGATAAAATTAATTTTTTTTTAACTTTTAAACAATTAGAGTTTAGGTGTTCTCACGTTATACATAGATATCATTACTGTACTTGCTTATGTAGATCGTTTTTTTTTTTGGATTTTCATTGCATTTTTTTCTCTCTTATAGACTTGCATTAGGTAAATTATTTATGTCACAATTGTTTCATTTTAGTCAATAAATATAAAAGTTTTGAGTTTTGCTGATTGATTTTTTTATCATTGTTCTATCAGCTGTTCTTCTATTACAGCTGCTTTCTTTCATTTTCTTTTATTTAGTTAGATGTTCACAATGTTTCTATATGATTTCTTTTTTAATTTTACCAAAATTTGAACCAATACGCAAAGCAATTTTGAAACAAAAAAATTGTGGCATAAAAATATAAATACTTCTAATCGATGGTCACGCGATACAAACACATGGACAATATTTTCGGTGTATACAGGCTCATTCAAAACGCAAAAAAAAACATTTAAATCATCATTATTATACTATTGTAAATATCTAGCGAAGCATCTTGAATCTATCGCTGAGCATGCAATTTTTTTAAACTATTTATTCAGAATAATATGTATATATATATAAATATATACATATATGAAAAAAATAGAATCCAAATTAGCGATCATCATATTTTGTTTTTGTTCTTTTGTTATATTATAATTGTTGTTAGAAAACTGGCTGTGTGATAATTATATTAGAAGAAATTGCAATTGTGTGGTTGCATCGCATATTGTCCAACACTTTGACTTGATGCTCTGAAGCAAAGATGCGAAACGGTGATGTAATTTTTAAAATCTCTAACAGAAACCGATGGTGTAGTTTCGCGCAAAGTGTCCCATTCGACGTTGTCGTCCAGCTGCAAGAGAAAAAAAAACATTCAAATCGAAGAGAATTAGTATTCATATAGAGAAATCGTTGGTCACTCTCGCAATCGTGCGTTGAACATTTTTCGGTTTTATTTAAAAATTGGTTAAGTTGTCTCTCTGCGAGACAAAATAAAACATTTGGCTTTTTAAACTGTGCAAAAATAAGAAACGAAGCCAACACAAAATCGTTTTTAAAATTAAAAACACTTGAACTGTCACCAAATATTTTTTTTTTTAGTTAATCAAGCAAACATGACTGATTGACAAAAGTTAACATTTCCTTATCAAAATGGTTTCTTATGTTCCATTTCATGTATGCCGATTAACTTCCTTTTTTTCGATCAATAACAAGTTAAAAAAAAAACTAAATGCATTTTCAAATTGAAAAGCAATATTCAAAAATAAATTATAATAAACGAACATTAAATTTCATTTAAACACTACAGCAAATTAAAATAAACACATTTGTGTGACAAAAAAAAAATGATTTGCTGATTTTTGTCCGTCTAAGAATATATAAATGTTCCACTGCCAAATTGTGTGATTGTTGTGCGATCGGTGTGTTTTGTGTACGATTTAAAGTATATATTTCCAATAAATAAAAAATTCTACAAAATAATAGTAATAAAATAAAAAAACTAAGTGATAATGTGAACCCATGTGATTGTTTCTAGGTGAATGTGCATCTGAAAATGATTTTATTTTATTTATTTTTTTAAATATTATCTGTAAGTAAACGGTAAATACAAGTCCGATTGTGTCATAGTGTGTCGTAAAAATGTGTACATTTATTGTTGGTATTTTGTATTGTATATTTCAACAAGTCAGAACATGTAGACATTCAACACAAATATATATAATGTATATATTATGGACGAATGAACGGTAAATGAAGATGATGTTTTTTTTTACTCATTTGAACGAAAATTTGACAATCATTATGCAATCTATGCTATTGAACATTTCAGCAACTACATAACAAAAATTATGTATATTTCGAGTTGAATTGAAATTACACGGAAATAATTGGTTTCAATTGAAATTTTGGTACTGATTGAAAACACAAATAGATGAAACATGTTGACATTTTTGAAGCAAAAGAAATAGAAAGTGTTTTTTTTAGAATGATAAAAAAGTTGTTATGAAAAGATTTTTTTTTGAACATGCATGAATTTTTTTTCTCCATATTTTCATCGAAATAGTTCTTGAAAAGAATGATTTGTGCAAAGAAATAGATCGTATCGCATAAATTCACCATTCACTAGGGTCTTTGATTACAAAAAAGAAAAACTACATATAAATCATGCTACAGTCTACAGAAAAATAAATTACCAAAGCAACCAGAACACAAGCAAAACAAAACAAATAGCGTAAAAGTATGCATTTAAAATATGGATGATAAAAAAAGTAGATAAATGGTACGTACTGTTTATATCATAGGATTTTTACTTATATTTTTTTTTACTTATTGAGATGTCGCTTTATTTGCGCTGGTTCAGTCGGGAAATTCGTACTGTAAAACATTTAAAAAACATATTATGTGTCTAATGTTCCATAGAATAATGTGGACAGAGAATTAATTCAAAAAAGAAACAGCTTATTATTTATGTAAAAACAAACAACATTGAATTTCAATCTCAAATCTCACTGGCAGGCGGTCAATTGTAAGTTTTGAGCAAGCGTCAAACAAAAATTAACACAAAATTAGAAAAAAAAATCAATATCATTCAATATTTTAATTAAAAATTGCTTAATTTTTTCAATAAAAAAAATTAAAAATTCAATTATTAGTAATTCAAAAAATTAAATTAAATTGGAAATTTAAATAAAATAAATGTATTATTTGGTTTGTCATTTTTTAGATTAAATCACTAAAAGTCATGATTTTAGTTTCAGTCATTAGTTTGTAAGTGTTATTAAGTGCAACTCTAAATCAACTCTAATGGCATTGTACTCATTTAGATTAAAGTGTTAATTTTAATACAGTTATGTTAATTGTGTCTAAAAAGTCACACGAAGAATAGCCTCTTGAATTACAACATTGATTCAAACGGTTATTTTTATTGTAATTTGCAAACGTTGATCACCGGTAGCATTTTATTATGTCGTTTCAAACGAATAACACAGTCATCAAATAAAGGAAAAGAAAAACGTAAAATCAGGTGTATTTGTATTAATTGGAAATTAAAAAAAACGGGAGTTCACGAACAATCGAAATTGCTTAGGATCACAAATTGGGTTAGACATAGATCGTGTGTAAAATTGTGAATAAACAAAAAATACACAATGTTTATAATATGCAGTAGCAGAGCGAATCAGAGCCATTCTGTAAAAATGCCGAAGCCAAAAAAAAACCACAACATTTTATAGGATAAGAAAAGAATTGTTAAAATTGTACCTTAAAAAAGACTTTTTTTTTTTAGAAAAAAATCAATGTTTGTGTATGTGTTTGTATTTAAAATATTTTTTTTTTCGAGTAGATTTTGGGCATTTTTTTATCCTTCAAATCATCGTGTAGATGACTCAAATGGTTTCGGGAGTATTGAATATATTTATTGGCATCTGTCGCTTTCTTTCACTCAATGGTATTTTTTTGTATTTATATATAGATATATGTGTGTGTGTTTTTTTGTTTAAATTGAGCAGGGGACTTTGGCTCATTTAATCATCGCAGTTTTTCTATTATGTAGATTATTAGTAAAAAATCTGAATTGTAGGCGGAGGTCAAGGTCTTTTCGTACTGCAAATTCATTTTAATGGAGAGAAAAAAAGAGAGAAAGAGAGAAAAGAAAATAATCAAATAGTACTTAAATGAAAGAACTAAAAATTTAAATACAAAAAAAATAGAATTCTAGGTTTACATTAACAATAACATTTGTTTGTATTTGTATCACAGTAATCTGGTATGTTTACGGTATTGAAACTAAATAAAGAGAGAGTCTACTTTAATGGTCGAGAATGGTTTGATGGAAATATCATTCTCGGATTTATTATGGAGAACGGCGACATTAACAAGGTATCCGAAGGTTCGATGGATGAATGACAATGCAATGAAAAAAGTTTTGTTTTGTTTTTATTTCAAACCGGTTGGTTTTTCTTCTTCTAATTCAATATTTAACATGCAGACAAATGGATAATGATTTTATTTTGTTCGAAATGAAGTGCAACGTTTACATTAAACATTTTACACATTGTAGCCATACGGTTATATTCGATCGAATGCAAATGGTTACAAAGATAGTCATAGAACCATTTTAGAGGTGCCAAAATAGAATGTGGATTGATTACTTGGTGTTAGCAAGAAGATAGAGAGGACAAAAGAGAAGAGAGATTCCATTGAACATGCTACTCTGCATGTACGACAATTCGATTTTGTACCAATTTACATGTCACGTTGCAAATTGCATGACAACGAATTGATGTTGGATTGTGTGTGTGTGTGTGTGTAGAACTGTTTTTAGTTGTGTCAGTGTGTCTGTTTCTGTTTATAATGAATTTAAATCAAAATACAAAAGAAATGCGCAATCGAAACAAGGGTTTTCCACAACATTTACAATAACAGCAAAATCTAATGTTCAAGAAATACTTGTGCTCTAACAACTGGGTGGGGGCAAAAACATTTTTTTTGTATCAACGGAATCAGTTCGGAACGGCCAAGTTAACAACAATTTTATTAATTTATTTGTAACGAAACAACGGAGAACACACAGTCCCGATAGTATGCCTCTGTATTAATTTGCAGTGTGTGTGTGTGTATTGGCCGAGAAATTGCACTATGAGTTTCCTCTCAGCCAAAGAAAATAAAAGCTGTATAAAAACAAAGTAAAACATCAACAACTTTCTAATAATAGTAAAAAAAAATTAATATTTGGTTATTCTGATTTAAGAACCATAGTGCACAACAAAAAGGAGCTAATTCGAATTTTGTTGCCAAATGAAATTTGGCATAATCATCATTTGATTGAGAAATAGCACTCACGAATGCACAATATGTGTGTATAATGTGAAAATCGTTGATGTTGATTTGAAATTGAACAGCATAATTTTCGCAAATTGTTTTTGGTTTTTTGTTTGTTTGTGTTAGAGAAACAGAGACAGACAGAGAGATAGAGTTCGTTTCGCTTATTTTAGTTAGTTGTCATCGTCATCGTTGTATTCATTGCGAGTGACAACATTATCTGGATCAATTTCGGGATCAATGTCATCGGGCGGTATCGGCGATGGAGATGGTGACAAAGATAATGGTGCTCGTTTCATGCGTTTTTGTAATTCCTCCAATTCGTCATCGTCGAGAACTTCATTTGCCGGTAAAATCAGTTTGGGCAGTCCTCGGATTTTATTCACTCGCACAACTGTCGCACAAATTCATTCGAATTTCATTTTTGATTGATTTTAAATGAATTTTTTGTTTTGTTTTTTTTTTTTTTTGTTTTCAAGAGATTGAGACGATCAAATGTTGTAATAAAAATAAAACACAAAAAAATTTAGAAAATCTTCAATTTGATCTAAGAAAATAAAAAGTTATTTACAGCAATTGTTAATTGAACGATCGAAAATGTTGTATTGAAAATGGGTAAAAAGTTGAAGCGAAGGCGGTTGGATGGTTGTTTTCTTTTGGGATTGATTTGAAGAGGTAAACAAATTGTATGTGTGTCTCGGGATGTGTGTGTGGCGAATGTGACAGAAACTATTATGTGAATATTTCAACAAATCGGACAGTACTTTGTTTTGAATAGGTTTCATAATCGTCATTTTTTTTTGTTTTTGGCTACCAATTGCTTAGCTGTCTCTCTCACACACACACTCTCGCACATATACACTTATATGCGGGACGAAAAACGCATGAACAATTAATTTTATTTCTAAAAACTGCTGCTTAAACTTGAACTGTCAAATTAACACTAAATTACAGTCATGTGAATAATAAAAAAAAAAGAAAGTTTGAAATAAATAGAATGAAAATTGTTTGTGAGACAGACCGACATTTAGACAGAAAATGCAAATGAAAAATGAATGAAAAACCGTCAAACAACATTGAAATATACGATTCACAATTAAAAGATCAAACGATTTTTTTGATACGCATAAATTGTAATAAATTTTCGTAAAATATTCAATATTTAAATTGTGCTCGCTTGACACTTCTTCTACTACTACTACTTCATCATCATCGTCATTTTTTTTGTCAATGGCAAAATGAGCAATGAAAACAAATCTTAAACGAAGATCAGTTGCAACAAATATTGAGAACGTTATTCGGCTCGTGAGAATTAATTGAATGCGCTTTTGATCTGTTGATATTTGTTTCGCACTTCGACGGTAGTTTTTTTCTTCTTCTTCTTTCGATTTTTCTTCTGCTTTTTCTAAATCACGATCATTTTAGATAATTAGCGGTGCGTACAAATTCATTGTCACTAACATTCAAACTGAAAATGTCTAATGGCACACGGCAATGACTTGGTTGCAATTTAAAATAGTTTTTTTTTTATTTCGTTGGCTATAGTTGTGTTCGCATTCATTTTAATTTGGATTTTTGTAAATAGCATTCGGTTTTTCATCTTCTTCACACCTATTTGCCAAATAATCGATTTAATGGCGCTCAAAAAAAGTGCATAGACACACAAACTACTTCAATATTGATTTACAGTTGCTCACATTCTTTTTTTTATTTTTAAACACGAAAATTGATTCACGATATGTCCAATCAATTTAATAGGGTATCAATTAGGCGTACATAGAAACATAAAGAGTGAGGAAATTGTGGAGGTATGGTTAAATGTAGCAACAATAATGGTATACGGTAAACACAAAGAGAGGATAGGAATAACAACTACTCAGTTGGATTAAAATGCACCATCAAATGATAAGTATCAAACAACACATCCGATTCGATCAGTACCATTTGGTTTTTGGTGTTTTTTTTGTTTTGCTCTGAATTTTGTTTTGTGTAATCGTTATTAACACATAGGCATTTTAAACTAGAATAAATTCGGTTGATTGTGCCACGAAAAGCTCGTACGGAGAACATATTTGTTTGTTTTACTCACAGATTGCAAATGATTAGACCAATGAATAAAATTTATATAGTAGAATAAAAATAAAACATTTAAATATAAAATTGGTATTTAACAGAAAGAAACACAGCATGTTTGGTTTGTTTGTTTTTTTTTGTTTCGGGGATAAAAAAGCCATCGTTTACCTTCATCGTGTAATCAAGTCATGTGCTAATTCATTTCATCGTCTTCTGTGAATTTCGTACGAATCAATCGATTTGAAAACACACTGATCGGCTCGATCTTTTTGGTTTGTTTGTTTGTTTTTTTGTTTGAATTTGGAAAAGAAAATTTTTGCTTTTGGACTAATTTATTGCGCTTGCCAAATAAATAAAAAAAAAACGATTATTTGCGCATTATGAAAACGAATCGGATTTGATGAAATTGAGCATTTTCAGTCATTTCAATCAACTTCTTTGGCGATACAATGTTTGTTTGGTCTTTTTTTTGTTTGGCGTTCCAAATATTTTGAGATTTTTTTTGGTTTTTAATGCGCATAATCATCGCTTGATGGTGACAATGGTCGTGAATATGATAATTGATTTTTAAAGATTTCCTCAATGTTAGCAGTAAACCGTTCAGGTGTACCTTGTTTTTGTGCTGATTCACCTAAAATTAAGAGATGATCAACAATGAAAAAGAAACATTTGCGTTTTTTTCGTCTTTTAAATATCGAACTTAATGAAAAACACTAAACAAAACCAAAATAAAAATGATGGTGTAACGACAAGTGAACCAAAAAAAACCCGGTGATATATCAGAATCGAAGATGTCTGTGTCAATCGTATGAACCATGAATGAATCAAGCCAATAATGATTTCCAAATCCATTGATATTTGAATAATCATGTTGACTCAAAGTCGGGGCTGAAATCTAAAAACAATCTTAATCTAATAATTCAGCGTAAATGCGTTTTTCTGCTGTTGCATAATAACACTACAATAGATCGAAGTGGTGTTGTGTATATTGAATTGACGTTTGCCGCCTTTTCCCCATGCGAACACGGCAAACGTCAAATAGAAAACAAAAATCAAATTTAAATTCATGTCGTTTCTAAGTCGATGTCGCCAATTGAAATGAATGTCATTCATCATAAATATATATATATATAAAAAAACGGAAGTGAATATGAAAATTGTCTTTCGAAATTTGAAAAAAGAAATTTTTTTTTTTTTTTTGAAAATGATGTAAATAAAGTTTGGTTTGAGTTTAAAATTACTCACTTCTATCAATATTACGCTGTAAATGATTGGCAATTCTGTGACGAGCATCGTTGAATTCCAAGTGCAAACCTAATCTCAATAGTGATGAATTCTTTTCCACCAATTCGGTGATTTCCATTTCGATTTTGTTGCCCAACACGGATGATCGCTGCAAATGGATTTTTTTTTTTTTTTAAATAAGCAAACAATTTAAATGGAATTTAAAATTAAGCGAAAATCATATTCGAGGAATATTTGATGCGAAATCAAACCTGATTTGAGGCCCGGAACTCTTCAATACTCTTGGCCTTCAATAATGCTCGAACCAATGTCACAATCACGGCAGGACTAATGAAATTCGTTTCCACATTTAATACTCGTAAAGTTTTATTCTTTTCAATGGCTTCGGACAATAGCAATGCAGTTCGATCTGTGAGGCCAACATTGGTCAGTGATAAAACTTCCAAATGCTCATTCTCAGGTAATGCATTAAACAATTGTTCAAATTTCTCGTCAGAAATATTCTGCAAAAGGAGATTTACATAGAAAAATGTTATCGATATGAAGAAAAAAAAAAACGATTTAAAAAGAAACGGAAATTACTTTGATATTGTTCAAATTTAATTCGATCAATTTTGAATCATCTTCTTTAACTCGTTTGATTGAATCTTCGACATCTGTGTTATTTGGTGGATCCTGTGGGAAGATTTTTTGTTGACTTGACTTTGTGATGCCGTCCCATCCCAAACCGACTGGTTGGCCTTTGTTCAGCAGTGATGCATGGTATTGATCTTGATTCATCATTGAGTGGAAGCCAAGAATAGCTGTTCGATCGAGTGTAAATGTGCCGAAAACCAAACGCCAATTCGTCAATTGAAGAAAACCACGAGTAAAATAAACAACATAAAATGAAAACAATCGATTATCATCGTACATTTCATAAATATTCATGACAACAACAGCAACAAAAATTGCTTGTTGAAAGCAAACCACGAAAAAAAAAACGATTCGCGGCGTGATTTACATTTAAAAATAGATGTTACGCTTGAGAAAATTAATTGTATTTTCAAATGGGCTGACATATAATTCAAACACTTGAAGATCTTCATTTGTTTGTCAAGTTGAATTGGTATTTTTTTTTTCCTTTGCCAAATGTGATGAGTGTACACTGTACAATGGACGAAGACTTCGTTCCATCCAATTGATTTTTCATTTATGCATATATACACTCAAAACATTGGCTATATATTTTGCCATAAGGGAAATGTATCAAATCATAGAAATGTTTGCCGCAAAAAAGGAAAAATGCATACCTGCCAAATCGATGATTTCTTCTTGTGATGCATCAGTGAGCGCCTGTTCGTATTCATCGCCCAAATCGATGGCAATCTTTTCATCGGCATCGAGCTGGGCTGCATCTGGTGGTGGTGGAATCCATTTTTTTCCGCGAACTTTACCCTTTACAAATGGCTCAAATTCTGGTCGATCTGGCGTTTCTAATGCTTCTTTATTGATGTGTTCTATCAACTTTTTTCTATTCAATGGGCCGGTTGGATCTTTTTCACAGTCATAATTGTTTCGTTGGCTTGGTGGCAAAAAATTATCCTGTTCGCATGATTTTTTCGAAACAAAACACGAAATTACGATTATTTTTACGAAAAATAAATTAATATAAACGGTTTAAATAAATACTCACGTCTGGATCTACTTCCTTGGCCAAAATTTTAATTTCCTCAGCTGACAATTGTGCCAACAGCTCATCGACATCAACTTCATCATATTCCCCCAAATTTTTTCCAAACAATTTGGCTGGTGTGGTCATGGTTGTCGTTTTGGTAGACGAAGAAGTCTGTGAACGAAAAAAAAGAATTGTTCGACGATTAAACAAAATGTTCCCAAATGAAAATCGCACACATCGGATTGTGAAAAAATATGAAAACAAACACATTCGACGGGATTTCCCCTTGACAATTGTCAGTTGGAGAGTTATTTAATGATAACAAGTGCGTTAAATTCAATTTTATGGTTTCTTTGGTTTACATTCAATAGTTGAGTGTTATTTTTACAATCGGGAATTCTTTCGCAATTCGATAATCCGTCGAAGTCGTTCAACTCTCGTCGATTCTGCCACCAAATGCACTTGCTCTATCTGTCTATTGCATGCAGCACATTGTGTTGTGCGTCTATTTAAAAGATAAAATACGACAGCGACACACGATCTATGCGGTTCTTATTTTTCTTTATCTTCTTGATGTGGACTTGAAACCATACGTCTAAGAAAGTGTCAGTCACATTCATTGGTGTGTGTGTGTGTGTGTGTGTGTGTGTGTGTGTGTGTGTGTGTGTG